AGGCCTGTAGTGTAGGTGGCGCTGGCGAATACAGTGCCAATGTTTACTACCGAACTAAATTATTTATTACTTTTTCTTTATGGAACAACTCGATTCGATATTATTTCGCATTGCGTTTAATCCCGTCCTGCTTTTCTCGAAAAGCGAAAAACGCTTACAGCGTAGACGACAGACGAACGTAAACAGCTGAATATTCCTAACTTTTTCCCGCTTTCGGGACACAATAATTGTGTCTGGTTACGTTAGGTCAGTGCCGGACGTATTTTCGGTCGTTGCACTTTTTCTGAATTAATTAAATTTCCACTCGAAATAGTCGGTTACGGTCGATGCGGTAGTTCTTCGGGTTCTAAGAAAAGCAACGTCTGAGCTTTTCTTGCGGCACGACAGACAAGAATGTTCGCAGTCTGGGAAACATTTTAAGCGCTAAATTGTTGCCAAATATTTGTGCTTACCTGACGTATTAATCGATCCGTTTCTAAGCGGTTGTGGTTGGAGCGATGTCCTGTCGCACAGTCGAAACGGTTATAAACTGAAAATCTTGACAGATTTCAAAAGCTTTTTTTAGAAATTTCTAGAGTCTAGAAATAGCTGTGAATAGAATAGGACTTTAAATTTTTTGGGAATTTTAAGTTCGCTCATGAGCTGCTCTGTTGCTCTAGCTGAGTATTGAGTAGTGTCTTTCATCTTATTAGATTATAGTAAAGCTTTCTATACTACCCTCAATGATGCTATGCTCTATGTCAAGTTAAAATACTACTGGTTTAAATTTAAGATGATGCAATTGATTCATACCTATCTGGACCGCAGATATCAGCCAGTTTCGATTGACAATATTCAATCGAAAGCCTTAGAAGTCGGCAGTGTGGTCCCTCAAGGCTCATTATTAGGACCCCTTTTCTTCATTATTTATACAGCAGATATGTCGGATTGCTTTGATGAGTTCAATAGTCACAGGTATGCTGATGACACTCAAATACATATTTCTTTTTCCCGCTCTGAAGCTGTTGACGCGGCAAGGATACTAAATAAATGCTTGGAATCGGTCTTTAAATACTATAATGATCATGGTTTGAAATTAAATCCGAATAAGTCTGCATTAATATATTTTGGGCCCGCTAAGCATTGAGTTACCCAAAACCTGGATATCTTTATAAATAGGGTTAAAATTGCAGTTGTTGACGAATGTAAAAACTTGGGAATCATCTTTGATAATGATTTCGTACACAGGTTCCCGAAACATCTATAAAAATAAAGATATTCTAAACTAAATCTCTGTGAAGCACTGTTCTTGAGACATCTAAATTACTGTAATTTTGTCTATGGACCCTGCTTGGATGTTTTGACGAAATATAAATTACAAAAAGAAGAATTCCTGTCTTCGATTTATTTATAACCTTAAATGAAGAGATCATGTAATTTAATCAACTATTTAAATATATCGAGCCGAGAAGAATTACATTTTGCTTGATTTCTTCACAAAGTACTTAAAACTGGATGCCCCTCATATTTGTTGGAAAAACTGATTTGCAGAAATCCCATTCAATTCCGTGGAACGGGCTTCAATTGTCAGTATGAAATACCTAAAATTAACAAGTCCATGACTAAAAGCTGCTTCTGGTATACATCTGTTGGACTACTTAATAAACATCCTCAGATTAGCCAATAATAAAATAATAACATTGCTCTTTTAAATTTCATTTAAAAAAAATATCTCTTACGGCAAACTACCTAGCTGACCTTCGCCGACCTTAAAATAAGAGCAATTTTATTTATTTATTTCTCTCGGTCAGCTAAAACTATTCCACCAAAGTATTAAATTCCGGATTAATTTTGAAGTAGTTGACAATCTGCTGATATGTGAACATGGGTTTCAGTGGACTATGCATGTCAAATTGCACGCTTTCGGCAGAATTAAAAAAAAAACTGAGCGCCCCCTCAACCACCATTTTATGATTTTCTTGTTATTCAATTTGTCGATACATCGTCTAATTAAATAATGGTGTTTACTTGTACAAATAGAAAATTCAAATCCAAATTTTATGAAGTTTAATTGAAATTCCACCGTATTAAATTTTCTGATTCAAAAGGATCAGAAAAAAATTTAAATGTTCTCTTGAATATTGTGGTAATTAAAATATGAATCATGAGGGAAAAGTTTAACATATTGATTGAAAAAGTAAATACCCTAACAAATTTTACATTCTTACATTAACTGTCCTACTTGTTTAGTTAGTAGGTATGAAGAAAAGGACAACATCGGAGCAGCATTTTTTTTGTAAAAACGAAGAAAAATACAAGTTTCAATCACTAGATGTCCCCATCAAATAATTTTTGAATTTTAATTAAAACCGTTGAGTTTGGCTTCTGTAATTTATTTGGAACATTAATCTAAAGTTTGTATATATTAAGAGCAAAAGATCCACGAAACGTATTTGTTTTAAGACGTGCATTAAGTCCACGAAATCATAAAGCGTAAGCGTAAAATCGTAATTGTGAACATCGGTTCGGTAAGTATTTTTTTTTAATAGTGTGGGGGACATTTGTTAATGATATTTTTGTGACAAACAAAGCAAATGCGAATTTCGACTTTTTTCCGTCGTATCTTTTAATTTGAAAAAAGTAGCACCATTCTTTCTTTCCTTCATTATAAAACACTACATTGACCAGTGAATTCGTTAATTTTGAATTTGTCTTTTCATGTCATTCTATTTTATCAACTAAATTATTATCTGAAATTACTTCCAAATTACGAGGCCTTGTTGGAACATTCAAAATTTTCATTTCAAATTTAAAGTTGTTGTTGTTAAAGTAGTTGGTGATTCTCGGAGAACTCGACTACCATAAGAGCTGATAATTATCCAAGAGTTCTCTAATTTGCAGATTCATAATTATTTCCAAGACTTTCGGCAGGCAATATGCAAATCGGTCTCTACTAATCTGTGTTACATACGTTTTCTTTGGAGAGAAATCATAGTTTTTATGCTACATATTAACTATACGGCTTTTATTTTAGTTTAATTAAGCTCCCTTATCGGGGCATTTTAATAACAAATTTATTACATTATATTCATCATTATAGATTACTAGTGTTATAAAAATACCGATTTTGTTTTTGGAACTACTAAGTGATCTATAAACGTTATGAAAACATTGCTATTCCAGACGCTCATTTAACAATTTATTCTAAGATCTCCACCGAAGATAACATTTTCATAAGAAAAATCAGCCAGCCCGGATTCAAAAATGTTTTAAACTGAGTGTAACCTGAGTATGGATCCTATAATAAATGTTCTGTCTGATATATGTATTCTAATTCATACTTCTTATAGGAGTATTTAATTTATCAAAATTTTTCTAATAACATCTCTTTATGTAACTTGTTATTTGAGCTAAGTGTACATTATTTTAAATCAGTAATATATTATTAATAATAACTAGTGAAAAAGATACCTTAAATTAAAATATATTGGTTGAAATACAAACTAGATTTTTTGCGCTATATTTGAAAATAAACACAATGTCTTAAGTGATCCTTGTTGTGATTACTTGTCATTTATCCACTGTAAAAGGAGAAGAGAAAACGTTGTTGAACAGAACCTAACCTAACATGAGAGAGAGTGTTAATTTAAAATCAGTGTATTCATTATTAATAAAGTTATTTTAGTTTAATACATCCGTGTGTTCATAAATTCACAATAATCCTAAGTCTTTTTAATCGAATTTAAATGTAAAATAAAAATTTTTCTCATTGCTCCCTCACTAATGTATTGTACCAAAGTTTATATTACACTCTAACGCAGTCAAAAATATCACCGCTCTCTGTCCCTATCTTGATTAAAGACGTGCACCGGCACATATTTCGAGAAGAAGTAAGAGAGCGTTAAGAATTTGCAATTTTTCTACCTTCTTTAAAATAACAGGAGACTATTTTGATCGTTGCCTACCAGACAAACATTTTAATTGCATTCTTTTTCTTCAGTTTATTTGTTCTTTGTTCGATTTCGTTGGCAAATAATAGAGACGTTCTATTTTCGAACACAATCAAGGAAGTCGTAAAATAGTCAAAACTAAATTGCTGCCCAAGACAAATTGGATTTCGCACATAACTGAAAACATAATACATTTTTCGGTTTTATATCAAGCTCAAAATAAATCCATATAAATTGAAGGTGTAATTTGAATAGGTTATTTTTGATAATAAGGGAAATAACAGTTATCCAAATATAACATCCAGATTATGATTTTTACTAATGATTTTACCATATCTGACCTTTCCTTTAATTGTAATATTCTAAGTCTTAATCTGGTAACATTTTTTTTAAAGCAATATCTATTGCTTAAGCAAGGCATATGTAGATAATCCATTAAATATTATGGAGAATTGTAATTAATGGAAAGCTTTTTAATAAACAAAAAAATTATAACAATGTAGCTATTAATGCGCCAGATTAATTAATAAATTGTTCGTTAACTATTTTCGAAAAAATGGGTATTTTTATAAACGGTCTTGTTCCGCCATCTCTTGATGGTGCTAGAACCAGGAGCTCTGTTGGCTGAGATCTGTAATTGTCAGGTGGTGCACTCTCTTAGCAAGTTTCCTAAAGTTCATTTCCCCAGGAATTTATTAACAACTTTTTATTTTATCAGAGACATTTTTTGTAATTTTTAACAACAGGGTGATTCGAATTAGGCCCAATGACATTTACATAATTTCCTATTCAATGCCGGCTAATAATTAAAAGGTAAGACCTAAGCGGCTGTATATTTATGTTTGGTTTGGGATGTGAATTGTCAATACCAGTGTTAAATAACGTAGTCACGAATATATCAAAATGCCCGTCAAATCAAATAAAATTCCACTTGGAATTTTTAAAACAGGTTTAGGATGAATTGTTGGAGTGTTGGCGGTGTAGGAAACTGCAATGGTGGCAATTTTTCTTTGACAGTCAGTTTTGACTTCTGCCATTTGATTCATTCTTTTAACGGTAAATTTAGTACGCGTTGGCAAATAGTCTCGTTTCCAAGTAAGGATTGTCTACGACGTGACAAGAAAAGTTCTAACTTAAGCCTAGCGATATCATAACTTTACTAAATTAACCTTAAGTAACAGTATATAGTATTATTTATTACTTATTTTAACATAAACCGGTTGTAATTTCAATTGTCGATCCGCGTAGGAATAACTGACAATCGGTCGATTCTCGTATAATCTGCCAGTTGAATCATCTTACATGTGGTGTTCGCCGGCAAATCTTTAAGAATAGAGCGTACAGAAGATCGTAAAATATAGATTTAACATACTCAATTATAAGCAACAATGCATCAAGAAACTCTTCAACTGATTCAAATTTTAGAGAAGACTGTTTCTCCGGGTAAGTGCCCATTTCCATTTTGTCGCGTTGCCATTATCTTCCATGTCACTACTTTTCCTTGTTTATCAAAATAGTTTGAATTTATCACTTTTCCTTATTTGTGTGGATATTTTTTTGATATTCCTTTTTTTTTGGCCAGTTGCATTTATGAATTTGGTGATTTCCAGATAAAAATGAACTAGAGCAAGCATCTTCGTTCTTGCAGCAGGCAGCTGCAACTAATTTATTAGGTTTTATTAAAACTCTCTCGGATATCCTTCGTCATGGAGGTAATGGGCAAGTGGCACGAATGGCAGCTGGCCTGCAACTCAAGAATCAACTCACATCTAAAGATCATAATATTCGACTTCAGTATCAGCAGAGGTGGTTAGATTTTCCAGAGGATATTCGAAGCTATATAAAGAAAAATGTAAGAATACTATGTTTACATAATTTATAGTTTTGATTATCTTAAAAAATAGTTGAAGTCACATTTTCTTTCAAACTGAATTAACTGTTATCTCTAAGATTAGTTCCATCCACCCATTTCTATAGAAGATTATTTTGTAACATTTTTGTACTTTTTTAAAGGTTTTGGGTGCCTTGGGCACAGAAACGAACCGACCATCCTCTGCAGCACAATGTGTAGCTTACATAGCCGTCGCAGAACTGCCTCAAGGGCAATGGCCCGAACTTATTCAAATTTTAGTCAACAATGTCGTTCAGGCCACATCAGAAATGCAAAAGGAGGCTACATTAGAAAGCATTGGATATATTTGTCAAGAAATAGATTCTGATGTTTTGGTCTCGCAGTCTAATGATATTCTCACAGCAATCGTACATGGAATGAGACCCAGTGAATCAAGCAATCATGTACGATTTGCAGCTACCCAAGCTTTACTTAATTCTTTGGAATTTACAAAAGCCAACTTTGATCAACCAACTGAAAGAAATTACATTATGGAAGTTGTATGCGAGGCAACTCAGTCCTCAGACACCCAAATTAAAGTGGCAGCACTTCAGTGTCTTGTTAAAATAATGTCATTGTATTATCAACACATGGAAACTTACATGGCACCCGCCTTATTTCCCATAACCCTTGAAGCTATGAAATCTGAAAATGATGCCGTTGCTCTCCAAGGTATTGAATTCTGGTCAAATGTCAGTGATGAGGAAGTTGATCTTGCTATTGAGGACACTGAGGCACAGGAAGCTGGAAGACCACCTTGCAGGTGAATAATTTATGTACTCTTCCTGTTAGAAGTAATTATTCCCTCAATTATTCCAAAAGGTTTTTAAAATAAACTTATCCATATGGTTTATTTTTATAGAGTGTCAAGGCACTATGCCAAGGGTGCCCTCCAATATATTGTGCCCATTCTCCTTCAAAAACTAACCAAGCAGGAAGAGCTGGATGATGAAGATGACTGGAATCCTAGCAAAGCAGCCGGTGTCTGTCTCATGTTGTTAGCCACCTGCTGTGAAGACGAGATTGTGTCCCATGTGCTACCATTCATTAAAGAAAACATCAAATCTGACAATTGGCGCTTTAGAGACGCTTCCCTAATGGCTTTTGGATCCATATTGGGCGGTCTGGAAAGTAGTACTTTAAAGCCATTAGTGGAGCAAGCAATGCCTACTTTAATCGAGCTCATGTATGACAGCAGCGTAACTGTAAGTATTTTGTTTAACTTATTGCGGTTTGCAATAATTCACCTTTAAATAAGACTGATGAATCCAGTTTGAACTAAAGAATTATTTGCTACAGAAAGTCTTCTTTAGTATGCAAGTGATGAATAACATAACAACAAAATATTTGCCTTTCAAACCATTTTTTATGAGTCTGATTGTGTTCCTGCATGATTGTATAAAACTTCTTACGACCTTAGTATTATACTGTTATCTTTCTTTTTGAGTTTAATAGAGATGTATCTACCTATCTATAGGTCAGAGATACAGCTGCTTGGACTTTCGGGCGGATATGTGAAATTATCCCAGAAGCGGCCATCAACGAAACATTCCTCAAGCCGCTTTTGGAAAGTCTTATAACCGGCCTAAAGGCTGAGCCACGGGTGGCGGCCAACGTGTGTTGGGCGTTCTCGGGCCTAGCCGAGGCCGCTTATGAATCGGCTTCATCCGAAAGTGGTTCTGGCGATTTTGGTGCTCCAAAAACATACGTTTTGTCTCAGTACTTTGAATTTATCGTACAAAGATTATTGGAAACAACAGACAGGCCTGACGGAGCTCAAGCGAACTTAAGACCGGCTGCGTACGAAGCTTTAATGGAAATGGTTAAGAATTCTCCCAGGGATTGTTATGTCACAGTGCAGAAGACGACCATGGTGATTTTGGAGAGATTGCAGCAGGTAATGAACAATTTTATCTGCGCATGAGAAACAGTGTAACATGTTGAGTAAAATTTTTCAGGTCCTCCAAATGGAATCACACATCAGCAGTCACAGCGATCGTTCCCAATTCAACGATTTACAGTCGCTGCTCTGCGGCACTTTGCAATCCGTCCTGCGCAAAATGACACCCGATGACGCCCCTCAAATATCAGATGCCGTTATGACTGCCTTGCTAACCATGTTTAATTCCAATAAAAGCGGCGGAGTTCAGGAGGACGCTTTGATGGCGGTTTCGACGCTTGTCGAAGTGCTGGGTGAGGGCTTCATAAAGTACATGGACGCTTTCAAGCCCTTTTTATATTTGGGATTGAAAAATCACCAGGAATATCAAGTAAGCAATTTTAGGTATTTTTGTATTATTATTATTATTTTAATTACTTAGTTAAATTGTTTAGAGACAAGCCAACCCTATCATAAAACAAGACCTATTAGATAGTTTAATAGTTTGTTTAGACAAAAGTTATTTTGAATTTAATGGTCACTGTTACATTGCTATCGAAGATAAATTATGGGAAACCCACTTAGTCCACTACTTGCAGAAATTTTCATTTGGAAAATAGCATACATTAATATCCTCTGGGCAAAAGATATCTTGGTAGTATAGATTCATAGATGATGTTTTTGCTGGTTTCACTGAAACGGAAAGACAACTGCAGTTATTTTTGCATCATTTTAACTCCATACCTAAGCAAATAAAATTTACAATAGAGACGGAACTAAATAACTTTTTAAACTTTCTGGACTTAACTATAACTAAATTACAGAACAAATTAGATTTCTCCATTTACTATAAACCCTCACACACGGACACTGTAATTCATAATAACTGAATTCATCTTCACCCACACAAAAGGCTGCCCTTTGTTCTTTGATCCGCAGACTACTTAATATACCACTTTCCACAGAAAATTTTGAAAAAGAATTAAAACAATGGTTACGAACCCTCTTTGATAAATAAGTTTATAACTAAAAAACAGTTTCAAATAACCCTGAATTATATCTATCCAAACGTAAAATTTATAAAATAATAAAATACATAGGAGAACCTAGCAAGAAACTTTGCAAAAAAACAATAAGATTGAGGATAATTTTGGTGTTTTACATAATGAAGTAAAAAGAAAAAAACAAAATTTCTTGGAAGCTATGGAGATTAATAAAATGAGATATTCCAATCTATTACTTAATGACCAATTGGATTTAAATAGATCTCCCTTGTGAAATTTTAATAAATAACGGTGAAAATCTGAACATTTTTTTGTTCTAATTTAATTGTATTTTTGTATTTGGTTTGTTAAAATTTAATAAAGTAGATGATAATAAACGAAAGTGGTAGCAAGAAATTACTGGTTTCTTAATTCATTATTTATTATTATTCCTTTATAATAACTCTGAGCTATTTATATAAAGCTTTAAAAAAATATTCCCAGATGTTATCTATATTTCCTTTTATTTTAATTATATTGTATGGTAAATTTTGTATTGTATACCACTTTTATTTTAATCTGGAATTAAAATAGTATGCAATATAAAGTTTCGTTAATTTATTAATTTATTTGTTTATCCAGGTTTGTGTTACCGCTGTCGGTCTGACTGGGGACATTTTCCGGGCGCTGAAGTTGAAGGCGTTGCCCTATTGCGATGAGATCATGACCCTGCTCTTAGAAAACTTGGGAGAACCGACTGTACACAGGAGCGTGAAGCCTCAAATATTGTCCGTTTTCGGGGATATTGTTCTGAGTATAGGATCAGAGTTCAAGAAATATTTGGACGTAGTACTGGCAACGTTGGTGCAAGCTTCAGCAGCGCAGGTGATGAAGGAATTAATTTTGTTTTAAATAAATCCATACATCAAAATTCGTTTAATATCCATATTGAGAACACTGGAAGATACCAGAAACTTTCTAAAGTAACATTCCTTGGTATTTTTGTTTGAATAGAAAGGACAATCTTGCCAAAAAAGAAAATCTAAAATAATTGTGTAAGTCTAGAGAGATCACACATGGACTCCGCTGACCATTGAATAGGGCTAAAGTTTAAAAATAATAAAAAATCATATGATTTTTTTGAAAGTCAGCTTTTCATCTGGATAACTGGTTTGTCATGGCTTTTTTCTTCATTCTAGGTGGATCGCAATGATTTTGACATGATCGATTATCTCAACGAGCTACGCGAGGGTGTGCTAGATGCGTATACTGGCATCATCCAAGGGTTGAAGGGTGATGGGCTTACACCGTCACCGGACGTCGCCCTGCTAGAACCTCATATTCCATTCATCATCCAGTTTATCATGACGGTAGCCCAAGATGCGGAGCATTCTGACGCTACTGTCGCAGTGGCCGCTGGCATTGTCGGGGATCTTTGCTTAGCCTTTGGCCCTCCCATGCTTCCTTTGTTGGACTTGGACCCCATCAATGAGATGATGACGCAGGGAAGGCGGTCAAGGATTTCACGCACCAAAACTTTGGCAACGTGGGCTACCAAGGAGCTGCGCAAACTGAAGCAGGGCGTCCAGACGTCGGCTCCCGCAGCCAGTTGGTGAGTGATTTTTTTTTCTTGCATTAATGAAATAACACCGAACTGCTGACTTTTTATTCCACAACCTGAATTGACAAGAATATTAGCTTTTCGGATGTCTTTCACGGCAAGGGGGTGTCCTAAAACTCAGGTATATTCCTTGCCTTGGCATTTTAAGAGTTCAATGTGTATGAGAAGCATTGTTGCGAAAAAACAAAATATTTGATTCTTGATTCCTGAAAATGCAAAAACAGACAAAATATTGCCTAAACCTACAAAATTAGTTTTTACTATGTCACTCTTAAACAAAGATTAATGTTTATCCCCATAAACAATAATAAAATTTATGTTTCTATTGCAATTTTCTTGGGCTTCGTCATAATTATACTTCACTGGATCCATTTGTAAATTGATTCACGCATGAAGAACACCACATCCATATGGTGGGGGCCCAGATAAGAAAAATATTTTTATAGAACGCTATCCAATTATGTTTCCATCCCAAAGAAGGATTTTAAAAATTGATGAGCATTTGTTAAGTTCACATTTCTCATTTTAATGGCGTTTATTACAGCAACATCTACCCAGAATTATGAAAATAAATTTAAAATGGTTGGTCCTTTCTACACATTTAGCACACCCAATCAAAAATAGCGTTTTTTGTAGACATAAATAGTGTAAAATACAGAATTTTAATAGAGGTACACGGATCGCAAATGGCGGTCCTTTTTTCCCGCCTCTTTACGGTAACTTTCAAATATTCCACTGTATGGCTATTTTAATGGCGCTCCATCTAAATTAATGGAAAAATACGGGAACATTTTTCAAGCTTGGCAAAGCCGTTTTATTTAAATCGACTTTGTCTTTTAAAATTCCTGTATTCTCAAATTTCCTGTTTTTAAACGTAGAAACTTCCATTAATGGAGGAGGACATAAAAAAGAAAAAACCGTAAAAAAAACGTAAATTTAAAATGTACAGTTTATACCTCAGTTGAGGCATGTTTATGAAATTTGACATTGGTAATTTAAAGGCAACTATTGACCTAATTTTTGAAATGTTTGCACAGGAAGCTAGTAGAAGTGCAACAAAAATTTTATTAAGTAAGTAGCAACGCTTGTGGTGTTCACTAATCAAGAATAACTTTTCCGATTGGCATATTTTGTGTTTATAAACTGCTGCAAATATTTTCTTGAATATTTTTGTTAATTCTCGTTGGCGATTGCATATTTTTTTGTTGCAGTCTGACGTGACTAACGAAAAAATAGATAAAATATTGCCGAAAGCAACAAAATAAGTTGTTGTTTTATCACTGTCTTAAATCAAGGCTGATGTTAATCACCACTAACAATAGTAAAGCAATTCGATAATCAAATTTATATTTCTTTTGCAATTTTTATTGGCTTCGTCGTGATTATATTTCACTGGATTCATGGGTTAAATTGATTCGCCTTTAAGGGATCCTGATAGGTGACGTAGGATATCCCCTCATTTTCAAAGTGAATGTTTTGCCAAAAATAACACATCTATTTACTATTGTGACAGAACTTAATTATTGATTCATCATTGCCCCATATGAAAATGTTAAAATGAACAGTATGATAAAATACAATTTTCAATGGTGTCTGGGCTACTAATCGGTATGAAAAAAAACGAACCTCTGGCGGTTTTCTAGATAACCACAAAACTTCTTACGGACATTATAAGTTTAGAATAAAATTTAAACGGAAATAATTTTCAACGTATTGGAGGTCGATTCAATTTGCGTTTCCTTGGTAATTAAATGATTTCATATTTTACATAAAAATAAATAAATGTTTGACGTGCATCAAGCTCAAGAAATATCGTTACAATTCATTTCAAACCACTGGTATTTTACGCACAGCTCCGATTTAGTAAAAGTCATCGTTACAAAATAAAATGTTTCAGAAATCTGTCACCAGAGGCACTTTGTTTTTATTTTTCCTGTATTTTATTTATTTAGACAGATATTGCAAAATGGAACAGATTGCCTTAAGCAGAATCACAAATTCTCAAAAATTGTTTTAAGTTGATAAGTTTTTAATTATTAATAATAATCGGGAATTAAACAGTATACAACGCTAATTACAATTCATTTTCAAAATGCCCACCGTTCATTTGTAAACATTTCTAAACATCAAAAACACGCCTAGCCTATTTCTAATGATTTCACAACCGTTTTTTATTTTTTATCGTAGATCATGGATATCTTTATAAGTGTTTCATGCACTAAAGACTTTAAGTGCCCCCAAAAAAAGAAGTCCATCATATTAAGGTCTGGTGAGCGAGACGACCAAGCTAGAGGTCCGCGCCAAACTATCATGGATGTTGATTTAAATTTCTTTGACTGGCCAGTGTAAAATAGTGTGGAGTGCCATCTTGAATTAACCACATATTTCGGCTCCACTGCAAGGCTCCCTCTTCCAGCAAAGGTGGTAGTTCCTCTTGGAGAAATTGCAAATACCCCATTAAGCGGTCCGTTAAAGAAATGAGGTCCTATAATATTATCTCGTATAATCCCTGCCCATGCAGCCTTATCAGTGAACAAAATTACATTTAAGAATTGCGGGTAATTTTGACTTTTTCCGAAAATTTGATTGCATAAAATTACTCATCACCCTCATACAGTGCTTGGAACATGAAAGAGTCAAAGATCATTTCAGCAATTCTTTCCTGAGCAGCAAGTTTGTGCGTATTCGTTGACGGGTCAGCCTCCACATTTTGAAGTATTCTTTCTTCTCTGGCAGATGTTCTTTTATACCTTGGTCTCCCTTTATTCATATTATCAGGTTTGAATTATCCTCTTTTACCAAGTCGTCTGTGTATATTGGTGAATGTCTTAGCGGATAGAACGTTTCTATTGGGATAAGCCTCGATATAAAGCCGTCGTGATTGATCTGCATTTCCATTTGCTCTTTCATAGCAAAAATGCATATCGCGATATTCAGTAGTTGAATATTCCTTATGGGCTATCACAGCTGAGAAAAAAAAGTTGATTTGTTGCTAAAGGATAAAACTTATGGACTTAATACAAGAGTAACAATTTTTGAGGATTTGGGATTCTGCTTAAGGCAATCTGTTCTATTTTGCAATGTCAGTCTAAATAAATAAAATACAGGGAAATTAAAAAAAATGTTCTAGCTAAGCTTAAGCTCTTAAAATATTACAATTTCGAATTTTTGTTACTGCTATATATATGCTGCTATTATTTTAACACTTCGAATGTTTCCTCCAAGTTTCCGAACACCCTCTATAAAGCCGCCCAAAGTTTTGGCGCTTTCAAAAAGCCAAAATTTATCGGTTTCACAAAATTTGACATAAACGGAACAACCAATGTCCACTAAATATTTAAAAAACTTGTGACTTTTTTCAAATATGCTTGATAGTCACACTTGAGACTATCAAAAGCAACTAGCGTTGCGCTTAGATTGAGAACTTCAACGACTCTAAAACTGTGGAGAATTTTGTTGGCCCTTAGTACCCCTATACCAAGGTTTTGTTTTTATATTAACAGCACGTCTAATGCGAAATTATCAACCACGACAGTCACTTTATCATTTTTTTCTTGCAGATTTCGCGGCTAGTTAAGAAGCGAGTAGTGTTGAGGGCGATCGACGGACTGACATGGTACTGTTGTTCCCGGTACTCTTTTCAGTTGTGCCGCGCGAGTGACTGAGACTGACTAAAAAACGTGTGAAACAATAAAAATTTTCTGTAATCATTTTACAATATCAGGTTTGATGATTGTGACGTTTGCGTTTTCACTGCAAAACGTATCAACAAACAATTTGTCCAGACATAGTAACCGTTTACTGGTTAACCGGTTACGCACTTTTTATTGTTTTTTTTTTTATATAGGACAATTATTGTAAACATTTTAAAATATTTCAAAAACTGCGATTGTTTGTTGAAACGTTTTTCATTTTTAATCATTTTAGATCAAACAAAATATGGTATATTGCTATTCCTTTAAAAATGTAATAACCGTGGAGTTAATATTTTCCCTGCTGCGTTACTTTATTAATTTCACTGACCAACACCAAAGAATACGAACTCTTACCACCACATTTTGTTCGATCGGATCTGATTAAAATTTCATTTACACTTCTTTTGCCGGATGGTTGATATCGAAATTTCGCCACGCCAACCAAATGGTTTTGGACTTTCGATGTTTCCTTTTTCCGGCAAAAATTCCAGTTCGATGATGAATTTATGAATATGCTCAGGAAAATATGGGAGTGGTTTGTTTTGGTGCGAGATTTTCATGATGTGAGACTCGTGCCTTGCGTGGGTGGATGCTGCTCGCTGGTGGATCATATAAGTGGCCCGTGTACTAGAGTTTTTCTCAAACAGTAATGAAATTTATATACAATTCGTGTCAAATTGGTGTTGCATTGTACGAAAACTTAACTCCATCTGAAATAAATGGTATGTAGGTTAAGTTTTTTTTTTCTTTTAATGCAAATCCGATTTGACATGTTCGAAACCTGCGGCCGGGTAATTTTTTTCGTTCTTACGCTCTAAAACGATTATGTCAAAACATTCTTCCATCAGTGGCGGATGCGTGGGAAATGCCAATGGGTTGGGCGAACTTAACAATTATAGAATCTGTGATTTGGGGACGTTTCCGTTATAGTTGCCAAAAACGTGAATTCCATTAGTTTTGTAATAAAGTCAATATCAGAGTAATTTTTACGAGAGGAAACCTCCCCAATATTAAAAGTAATTATAATTCCGGGTAATTATAATTATCGATTCCTCGTATGTGTGATATTTTGTCGCGGGGCAAAAGGGTCGGCAATGCGCGGGGCAATTTTTTTTTTAAGCGGTATACGTAATTTTATAAATGCCCACTAGGCACCTCCATGTCGCGCGTACTTGTCGGCTCGCGCCCCCGGCGTATAAAAGGCTGTATGAAAACTAGAATGTAAGAAGTGCGATCGTTATTTTGTATGTAAGTATATTGCGTATGATGTAAGTATATTTTTGAATATTTTTTTAATTTTAGAATCGTTAGGATTTTCCCGCTAAAATGTGGCCTAAATTGTATTTCCGTTGATATTTTCTTATTTCGGATTGTATGAGTATAACTTGCTGATTATCAAATTGCCCTTTCTGGATTGGCAGATTAATGTCCGACATGCGTATTGCTTTATTAGTTACCAACTCTGCTCGAACTCGAGAGAAACAATTTTTTTTCCCAATAAAAAATGGCTACGGTTATATTTAGTTTTCCGTTACATAGGGCATTTAAATAATCTGTCAGTTCAGTTTTGAGTTGGCGGTATTTTCTATAAATATGGGAGATATCAAAATATCGTTTAATACGGGTTGCGTTTGAATTCCTTCCAAACTATTATCCTCCAACTCAAAAAAAGAACGTCCTCCTGAAGCAACTGCATCTATTTGGAGTGAGTAAAGACCGTGTGCCGAAACGTGTTCCTTCGTGAAGAAGTCCGTGAGTTCAATGAAAGGTGGAAGGAAGGTGTACAGTGTTGCTTGGATGTTATCGTTTTGATTGTGCCATGATTGTTAATCCGTTATAATCATCCTCATTAAAAGCCGATGTTTCGACAATAGTTACATCGTCTTAAGTGTGCAAATGAAGACTGAACCCTTATGATAGTGTAAGTTAAGCTCAAGTGCCGTTTGAAAGATGTATACTGATGCGGCCGATTCCAAAAATTTTTCTTATTGTCGAATGTCGGTTGATTATTGTTTTCTTTTAAGTTTACTTTGTCCGCAGAAGAATTAGCAATGTTACCATGTTTGGAGGTCCGGCTACGAATTTTCCGAATTTTTTTTTACGTTCTTGCTCATTTGTCTTATATACTTAGTTTTTCCTGTGCACACTCCTTTTGGTTTATTTCCGCAACAGAATCAGACTCGAAGGATATTTTGTAGTTGTCATATCAAATATAATAAAAATACTTCATTTTAAACGCGGATTGTTTTATTCCTTAAGCAATTTATTTTAAAATGTGGGTCCAGCTTTTAAAAAAGGTTACAGAAATGATGTGTTCAATTTCATAAAAAAATACCTTTGGAAGAAACTACATTTCAACCATATAGCAGTCTATCGATATGGGTTTAAGAGCATGGTTAAACTGACGTTATTTATACTAACTTCTTACAAGCATTCGACAGACTTGAGGGCTTGTTGCTCTATAAACTTAGTCCCACAAGGTTATTACTTAGGCCCCCTGTCGTTCAATGTCTTTTCTAGATTTTGCTTCCAAACTTAATAGGTATGTTTGCCACCCTAAAACAGCTGGTTTAAGGCCGTTTTCGTTCATTCTTCATGTACCGTCTCTATTTTGAATGTAGCGTTTCTCAAATTTTTGAGCCTTCTAACAGATCTTTTTCCTAAAATTTTTTGATGATGTCATATATAGGACCTCTCATAAAGTGGCCGAGATACTGCAGCTTTCTATTTTTCACTTCTTGCAGGATTTTCTTCCTTCTTCTCAAAATCTTCACCTTGGTCACATGCTCTGTCCACGGTATTCTCAATATCCTATGCTAGGCCCACATCCCGAAAGCTTCTAGTCTTTGCTCGCACCATATAAAAACAACATTTGAGCATCCGTGTTCTTAGGTCCAAGCTCAGATCGCGGCTATAGAGCAGTTTTTTGATCTTCATAAAAGAAGCACGGGCCTTCTTAATGCGAATCCTTATTTCCAAGCAGTAATCCACGGAACAGTTTACCTTGACCCTTTCCAGCTTTTCACCTTCCACACACAACTGTTCATTGAGCGCCTCAGTTTTGGTGACAATCATATATTGGGTCTTATGTGAGACCATATTCTCGGCTAACTGTGAAGACATTATTCAACATATTTTGTAGATCTTGCATGTTTTCATCGAGAAGTCCGCATAGCGCAGATTGTTCAGTGCCATGCCTACAACATTTCCGAAGGCTTTGATGAAGATTTCCTTCGATTAGACGTTGGAAGGAGGGGGTGAAAGAATACGTCTGCACGCGCACAGATGTACTTTGGTTTATTTAGTTCGTTCAATAAGTGGCGGTAAAACCAATTTTGACCGGAATCTGATTGAAATCAAGAAGAAAAATCTACTCTTTGTCCCAACAAGAAAGGTGTTAAGCTAATATCTGCAGGTTTGATGCCGTTTTTGTTACAATAAGTGGCGGTGAAGCCGATTCTGACAGAAATCTGATTGAAATCATGAAGGAAACTCTACTATATGACCCAGAAAGAGAGGATTTAAGCTAATATCTGCAAGTTTGGTGCTATTTATTTAGGATTGATCGCATAGATAAATTTGTTTTTGTTTATCGAGTGGCGTTCGAGAGACATTTTCAATTAACTTAAGTAATAAAAAAAATGCTACAAGAATTAAGTGCATATGCAAATAAAGATAAAATTCCGGAAAACGTTTCGTTATAGCGAGAAAAGTGTAGAGTTGATCAGTTTAGAATCGATCAAGGTAAAAGCCATTGGCGTACCGGTATTTTTAATATTTAAATTAATTAAAACTGTTTCACGAGCGCCACTGGTTAAATAAAAACGAGCTTATTTATGCTATAAATTTGTTTTTAGGTGCCTACTAAGTGTGAAAGCAAAATCGAAAAAAGTTTTTCTAAAAATAAGAACACCACTTTTTTTCGCAATATTTCAACACCATGTATCTACAAAATGCAGCATTTTTATCTGGTGAATTGGCAGTTAAAGTTTCTTCATTATAATTTGGACGATTTTATAAGCTATAGTAAGTACTGCAAGAAATATTAATTGGTGGTTAAATTTTTGTCAAATATGAAACGTACATAATATTGGGCTATCAAAAAGTACTTGTATGATTCTCTTCGTAGTATATCCCTAAATACAACTGACACTTACACTGACCATACGATTTTATTGTTCGCTGCAGTGAATTTAAAAATGTGTCTATTTTAAACATATTGTATATGGCTTTCGTGCGATCAAAATTTTACTCACTAAACTTTACCAGACTCCGAGCTTTTAGAGGGGTATTATTATTCTTCTGTAAAAAATATGTAATAGCATCTTATTAACTTGCAAAATTCGTAATAATTTAATTGGTTATTCCGTAAAATAAACGTTAGAGTTCCGAGAGATAATTCTAAAATTTTTGACCAACTGACAACATTTTTCGAACGGTCATTATGATTAACTCTCGGATATATCACGCTGGCCTATTCTAATCATATAAATATGAATATTTATAGTCGCCCAATGGGTACTTGATTATCTAGGAGTGTGCTAGAAATTAATGTTGTATTATGATGACTTCTAAAGTATATAGGTTTACTAAGCAAGCATATGTTAAAAAGTTTAGGCTTATATTAAAAATCAAACATCAGTTATATCACAAAAATATCATTTTTCTCTTTTTTCGCCGTTTCCTTTAAGTAGTCGGTGTAGGAAGTAATAAGATCGTCCATTTTATATCCTTGCGATGTTTCGCAGAGGATCTTCGTCTTTCTCATAATATTACCCACTGTCAAATGGAAGTAAGTATTGCCCGAGGACCAGTTGCTCAGTTCCGAGTACTCGTGCACTGCCAGAATATCCTAAAACAGATTCGACATTACTTTGATATTCACTTGGTTAAACCCCGTTACCTTTGTTTGTGGATGGATAATATTAACTCCGCGGATATTGATGGCGATCGTTACGATGTCAGGATATGAAGGTTCCGTGGTCTGTTTTACTTCAAAGAATGTCGAGCCATAGGTGGGCCACGGGTAGATTATTCTTAAAAATTCCGTTTTCGCTTCTGACGAACTTATCCTAACAATCTTATATTCAGCAAGGATGCTCTTCTTCCATTCCGATGTGTTTGCCGTCTTAGCCACGTCCATCGGAATGAAGTTCTTGACGTTGTTATGAATTGCCTGCAATATTATTTACATCGTTTTATGCAAAAATTATGTCTCTGCCTAAAAACATCGTGCTACAACCTCTTCAACTTCGTCTAGATCTTCACCAAATCGGGCTTTTAAAATCAATGCGCCAAGTCGAATAGCATCTCTTTTGTTACATTTATGGAATCCCTTGAGATACTTGGGAACTTCCTGATGGTAGTGGAAAATCTGATCGGCATTCAAGCAGTTTCCTGGTTCAGCGTTGACCCACAATTTCTTCATGAAGAACACCTGATACTGAGCTTGAACTGATGCCGCGCCTAAAAAGTTGGAAAGGAACTATAACTAACCAGCAGAGAAGAAGTTGCATTGAAGTACTTACTGCCCCAGCTGGGTTTGGTAGCCCTAATCCAATTTATAAGCTCGCTGAGAAAATCGTAAAAGAATGTGTCCTCCGGAATAGAAAAGACCTTGTCGGCAATCGCGACGAACAAACTGAAGCCATCCGTAGACGCTAATTCGAAACGTACGGCGATCGTATTGCATAAGTCTGATGCCCTAGTCATCGAGTCCACCTCAAACGCTTCATCGGTATCATCCGGAAAATAGATTTTGTGGAAGATTTGCATACTGCGGTGCTGGATAGCCTCTACTTCGATAGAATACGGCGGGAATTTTCTGGGACCCACTTTTTGCGTTCTCTGTGGACAAGATGGACGATAGCGTCAGTTCATTTTATTCTTGCTTATATATATGATTTTTTAAATATACCTGTAGCCGTTGAAGACAAGGTTCCACGAAAGGATGTACTCTAGATTTCAAGAATTTCTTGGTTTCCTCCAGCAAATTGGCGCTGGGTATAAACAAACCAGTTATCAGATACAGGAGTTCCCATCCCCTCTCCTCGCTTATCGTCAGTCGATTGAACGTCAGCTGCCTCATAATCTGACAGTAAACTTCATCTCGCAGCATGTCGTTCTTCAAAGCGGCTTCGAAGATTTGATCCGTGTATTCGTTACTGTACTTGGCTTTAGGTGCGGGCAAGTCTCCCATGTACTTAAGAATTGCTTGAAAGAAAAAGGCCGCAGCGTAATTGATTAAAGATTATGAAAGCTATTATATACTCACAAGTAAATATGTTGCAGGCTTCTTTGCTGGCCTCGTCGTCGACCAATAGTTTTTGAAGCAACGGCTGATAGATCGGTTCGTTGGTATACTTCCACAGTTCTTCTTTCGAGTTCCTCCTTGCCGCGGTCATTACTGAAGGTCGTCCTACCGTTGTCAGCCTTCGACCACTTCTGAAATGATCTTCGGCGTAATGTGCCAAGGTGTACAACCTCATCCGTTGCATGGTCGTCAGCGCGGAGACAGAATGTTGCTTTTCGGTGACGCCTTCCTTTCGGAATGAAATTAATATATCTGGAGGCGGGCGCGACATTGTTGGCAATATGTAAATGGATTCGGTTGGGAAATCGCCAACCCGACCATTGCATTCGCCATAGCCCCAAGTGGACGTCATTAGAGCTTCGCCGTTTAAGTTATTCTTAAGGATGATTAGGTCTCCCTTCTTGAAGGAGAGGAACGACTCCACATTGGTTGGATGCTGGAATGATATAATGTTGCCGCCTTTTTAGTTGAAATTAGAACATCTAAAAGTAAATACAATTACCTTGTAGTCTTGAGTGGCCACGCAGTATATCGAACGTTTTTTGAGCCCGTCCACTATACCTTGCACAAGATTGCAGATATTTTTGGCATCCGGCATATGGAAAACGTATTCTTCCTTTCTCACCTACAAAAGTTATTGTTTTTGACACGGCCAAATATTGCTGGCTCCCTTACTGTGGTAAACATCAACTTTGGTACGTGTCCGGTATTATCGAACGTAATGAAGAAAACATCCGCAAAGGTCAGTTCCAAAAGTATCTGTTCTTGATCATCGATGAAGTAGATACCGGTCCAGTTGACCGCCGCTATGACATTTTTCTTCGGCAATTCGGGACCGGATATCTGTTCTGCTTCGTAGAACTTGGAGAACAAAATGGGCCACGTCGCTTTGCTGTAAACTACGACGATCTCTTTGGCTTTGGCCGCGGGCATTTTTTTCTTCACGCATATCAGTTTGGAAAACGCGTCGGCAATGCGCTGTTCCCATTCGTGTAAATTGCCATGATTTTGTTTAACCAACTCGACCGGCAAAAATTCGCCGATACGGCTGTGTAGTATCTGGAATTTAAATAAATAAATCATTTTTAGAATTGGTGTTTTTCAGTATGGATCAGTCGATCAAGAGAAAATGATGAAAATAATTTTTAAAATTGTCGGCCACCTTGGAGTAAAATTTCGACGTTTAAAACTAACAAACCAAATTATTTGAACAAACCTCCCTCGTTATTCTATCGCATTATTTTAATTCTTTACGAAAATTGGCTAAATTGGAAAAAACAGAAAACAGAACTAAAGAATAAATTACAAACCAGCCAACATAAACAAAATTTTATGAACTGCGTATAGTGATAATATTTAAAATTAATTAAAAATAAAGATATTGGAGGTTAGTTTTAATTCTGAAACATTATCTCAAATCTTTATAATTATCTTTATAGTTCTTTCCCGTTCTTAAAACTGTCCCTCAATGAGGCATTTTTTTGCTTTTTACTAAATTTTGGCGGTTACGCTCCCTTATAGCGGCATTCTGGAAACTTTTTGCTGCTTTACCTACTATATCTACTTTTTGAGATACGACCGAGAACCATCATTACTTCCAAATCCAGAACAGAGTGTCTACATAAATGTTCGGAAAAACTAAGTTTCAAAGATACGGTATTTAATAATTTGAAGAAACATCTTTTTTGTAATTTGTTCATTGTTTTTTTCCGACTTTGTTGAAATGTGCAATGTCGTTTACAATGTTAAAGGGCTAATTTTGCTTCAACTAGATTGTGAACTCTAGTGGGCTCCTGGATTGACTCCTAACGAATAGTATTGCCAAAGGGACGTACGCTACTGACTTTTTTTGCAATTTTTTTACTTTTTATAAGCCACTAAAATTACAAATTTTGTCACTTTTGAGTTTTTCGTGAATTATGTCTTTTTGTTGAGCTAAAAAATTAAAAGTATGAAAATTGACAAAACATAGTTTTATAAACATTGATTTTACAACCCGTTGATCACAAAAAACGTATGTTACGGTGTAGGTTGAGTTTTTTATTGAAAGTTCTGAAGATCTAAAAATGGAGACCCTTCTAAATTTGGTGTGCGGCCATAATAATCTATATATTGGAACTGTCACCAATTGCTATTTCTGACTGATCTATAACATTTTATTTTGGTTTTGTTTATATAGAACAAATTTGAATTGTTAAAAATTTGCTTGTTATATTTATATTATATTATATAAAATTGCTATATTAGAATTGACGAACCATCCGCAGCCATATAGGTTGTTAAACGCCGTAAGGTTTTATTGGTTTGAACGCATGATTTGAAATGGCAGATCTAATTGATTGAAAGCGGGTTTTAAAGTAACTCGCACATTTTTTGATGGTGGCTGCAAAAGTGCCTGTATTATCTGCAGAGGCATGACCTCATATTTTGAGCAGCTATGCAAAACTTACTTTTGATGGAGTTGAAAGTATTTACCTTTTGATTGAGCGGAAAACCGTGCTCAACGTAAAACTGAGTTGCTATTAGCGTCGCGACGTCGCCCTCCTGCTGGCATTTGTATTCTCCGGCTTTCAAACCTCGCACGACTTGTTGGTAAATGAGGTCAGTAGCGACTGGATCGTAAGACGGGTCGTGCCACGGCGCGAACATTTCCTTCCTAAGAAACACCCTCCAAGGGCTCGTCTTCTCCTCGTGCCCAGTTTCTTTGGAGTATTGTTCGCACTGCGATATCGCGTCTAGGATGTGATCGCTTTCACTACCCAGCGACATCACCTAAATGGCACAAGGGTACTTTCGATAAAACACTTTAGACGAAATATGCAAAACTTACTTTATCGTACAACGCAATGAACAGAGAGAAGCCGAACGTATCTTTCAAGCCGAGCGTGGTTGCGATCTGGATGACCACTTCTTCGGCTGTCGTCGCAGAATCGATTTCCACCGTCTGGATCGAACCGTCCAGCAGAGTGACGTTTAACGTGATCGAACTTTTATTCTGAAATTTTTAATGAGTTCTTATTAGTTTTCCAAAAGGGAAAATGTCGAAGAAACAGAATCTACGCGAACTATACCGACAAACAGGGATGGCATTAGGGATGATTTCGTGTTTACTTCAAAGGTAACTTAAGATGACAATAAAGACATGGTTTGATCGAGGTGTATGGTTATGTATTTCGAAAACCCTAAAGTCTACTGCAGGACATAGATAACAGTTCCTGGGCATTTCAAGTGTATATGATCTCATATATACTGAGGATGTATTTCGGAATTAAGGGTTTTTTTATTTTTAAACGTTTCAGAAAGTTTAAGTGCACTTTTATTTCGAAATGTTATCTTCTTTTATGAAAAACAACTTGTTTTTAGGAAATTGCTGTCGGTTATTCGAATACCCATTAAAGGCGACTGAGGAAGCTAATGATCTAAATAATAGAAAATAATTGATAATTTTCTAATTCACCTAGCAGGAGAAAGCAAAAATGTTGATTAGATTTTTCTTCCAATCGAGAAAAAAATATATTTTCATTCCGAAAAAACTTTGATCTTTTTCAATATTGTACCATCTACATAATAACAAAATATAACTTAATTTATCCATTTTGAATACTATAATTTATTGTCGTTCATTCGTTTGCCGATTTAGATTCTGGACACCCTATGTAAATATTGTTTACTCACATAAAGGACGTCGATATACAACTATAAAATGCGGTCCATACTGACTGTACAGTATATTATGCAATAAGTTTGATAAACACCGCTTTAGTCACGAATTTGGTTTGACACAAGCAAAGTGCAGCGGGTTTTTAATAAACTAGAAACTAAAGAACTTTATCAACGTGTTGCATACTACACTTTTTCTACAATCATTACTTTTTGACTTAGTGACGTATGACAATTGTCAAAATACCATCAGTGGCTAAAATCTACCTAAAACATCCCAAACCCGTTGATAAAACACTGGAAACGTGCAAAGTACTTCGGGATAGTGATTAAGGAAGCTGACATATTAAAATGACACTATGACACGCAGTCATTCGTTCATTAAACAGTTTGTGCCATACCAAACTCGTAACTAAAGAAAAATTTTCCAAAATAATTTCTTAATATATTATTTGCATCCTAAAGGAAGACCGTTGGCTATTATTAGGGCTATAAATAAAATATAAATATAGTTGTAAACCTTATTGGCAATGAGCTCAAGCCAAGTGGGCGGTTGAGCCCGGGTTCCATTTTTAAGGGTGCGGTTCAGTCGACCTTCGGTGAATGGCGCATATCCGGGCGGCCCAGATCGAATGAAAGCTCTCAAATATGGCGCAAAACGATCCGAAGGGGCAAAACAACCGACGCAGAGGGAAAGCAGAATCCAGCCCCTGGCATAAGAGGCCCTACTGTAGTTGTTGGTCAATTGTTTACAGATGATACAAAGAATCTCGTCCCTGAAAGTTACATGATGGTTCATAAGCAACCAATTCCCAGTCTTGGAGGCAATACCTAAGTTCCGGCCTTAATATTCCGTGTCCTACGATAAAGTGGAGCTTCTCCAAATTGTTGGTTCTCCTTTCGTTGATCCAGTTATTATAACTTTTGACGGCGTACGTGTCTTCAACCAAACCGCGCTTAACGTCTTCGAGCAGCTGATTCTTCCTCTTCAACGTCATATTTATGATTTTTTGCCTATCGTTCTTCTTCATGGAGTTCATGTAACGTTTCTCTTGTTGCACAATGTGCTGATACTCTTTGCGATTCACGAATCCCCTGCTTAATGTCTCGTTAATCTGGTGCATTACAGGCACGCGCGATTCCTCCGCCGCGTGGTGATCCCTCGGTTCTGGGAAATCACCCATGAAGCGTCCAATTACGTGCCAGAGGGCTTGGGCAGCTAACACGTCGTCGGGAGTCGGAAGTTCGTGGAGGGAGCTACGTGGCGCCCTACGAGAATGTTGGGGCCCCGTACCGCTCACGAAGTAAGTCGCCGCGTATTTACGAAAACTGTACTCCGACAGATCCTCTTCCGGAAGTGTTTCTTTGCTTAATTGGTTCTGTAAGACAAGTGTGGCCGTATCATTTTTTCTACTGGTACTTATGGATAGTTTTTGCCAATATCTACTAAGGATGCTATTAGATATGACCCAACCGCGTCACAGAGCTCGAGCCGATTAGCACTTACCGCCAAACTATTTTCAATAATTTGTCTGGACTTCTCCTCTGTCGGTGACGGTTCTATAGATGCGTCTAAGAAAGCGAATTCGTTGTCTACTATCTTGTTCGCCTAAAAAATCGTTCAACATTTTATCAATCCCGCGTCGTCTTTTAATCAACTTACTCTATTGTCTTCCTCTTCCTGTTGCTTCAGTTTAGCGGCATAGTTTGCATTGCACTCAGCTAAGCGATGTTTCATTAACGTTTCTGCGTCGTGCCTCGCGTTCTTATTGCCTTTCGCTCTGAGTTGTGCTTCGTCTGAACGCCTCTGAGCGATGATTCCCACAATTTTTCCAAACTGACCCCTAGTGCGTTGCAAGTATCCTTTGCAAGCTGCCTGTAGGCCGATGATCTGAGTTCTTACTTTTTTATAAGTGAAAGTAAGCTGCCTTGATAATATGATGGCCTGGAAAGGAATGCGTGATATATTTTGCTTACTAAAACTGCATGGAACTCATTATACCTGCAATCGTTGATATCCGTTCTTCGTGAGAAGATATCTTGTTCTGTAGCCTCTGGCTCTGTAATGTTTCTGGAATACAATTGCTGCAGCTCTTAATCTCAGGAATCGCCTCCGGTGAATCCACCCGCGAATTGTCCTTTGCAGTACTACTATGTACCTTGAATAAAAGTCATTTGATATTGAGGATTAAATCGCCCTGCTCGTTGCTGCAATACCTTGCCAATATTGCCGCTCGCAGTTCTTCCAGACGTTCGTTGTCGATGTGCTTCAGGAATATTCTGGTATGGCCTAGTTGAAAGTCTTCACCTTTTTTGAAAACTTCGACGCAAACTTTAGCCGCAGATTCTCTACAGTCTCCTTTCGAAGATGGTAGTATGCCCTTTCCTAAAATTGTTTGCATAAATCTTGGATGCATTTTTAGTGATGCTGATAGTTCCAACCCAAATATCTAAACCGGTCGACGAATTCTGGATACGAATATCTGATTGGGTAACCCGCTTGTCGAATCTTCGCAGTTTCCATCATTCCAGAGTACCTCAACTGACGGCAACATAATGCCCTGTCGAATATCTAAAACAAACGGGTCACACACGAACTTGGTTCAGTCGTTCTACAAAATACCTGCGGCTTTTTCAATTCATTCGGCTTGATGCATCTAACGAAAAACGGATGGCACGAACCTAGAGTTTTCATGAGCAACTCCAAAGAAGTTTTAAATTGGGAAGAAAGGGTAAACATCTTCTTTCCGTTAGAGTCTTGATCGAGGTCGCTTTTGAAAATATTTTTAAGCATGTCGTTTTGACTTGTCTGGATGAGGTTTTTTAGATCTTGACTGAAAGTATCCCTGTTTTTGTTCAAGAAACCTAAAATCCACAATAAAATTTTTCTGAACTCGCTGAGGGTGTTCATATGTACCTGGCACGTCATAAAACACTGATCCCGCGAAATGTTGAACTCCGAATGCCGGCGTCATATCAGATTTTGGTTTGAGGTAGAACTTCTTAGTCCCATGATGACCATGTAGTTTCGTCAACATGGAGAAATCTGTTCCTTTGGGAAACCTCGTTTCCTCATCGATAAGCGACAGCAAATTCATGGGTTTCAACCCGATCATGTCCAGGACGTCCTGGTTGTCGACGAACTCGATCTTCGACCAATTTATCCCCTCCTTGGTGTAATATTCTTGTTCCAATTTGAAGATGTGTTGCACGAAGAACTGCTGCAGATTCTCGTTGGCGTAATTGATGCACAGCTGCTCGAAGCTGTTGACCGTAAAATTCTCAAAACCGAAAATGTCCAGCACACCGATTGACTTTTTGTGAGGAATCTTTGGTTTGTAGATCGCTTCGTTGATCTTGTCCACAATCGTTATAAACATTTTGCCGTAGATGCCTTTTGAAAACGCGTTCCTTGCTTCGGCTGCTTGGCCCTTGGACAACGGCGATACAACCTACAAAATTATTATATGCAATTTACAAAACTAAAGCTATAATGTAAAATACAATTACAAGAAAATATAAATATGTTGGAAAGTTGTTATTTAGCACTACTCTTGAGATATTTTACACTACAGATTTTGGAAAAAAAAGTTTAAGTTGCCTCTTTTTACTCGTATAAAACAATTACTTTATAGCAATGAACTTTGTGCTTTTGTGTTGTTAAGGCTATTGATCCACTTAATACGTTTATTCGTTTCTAATCGCATTTAAAATTACCGTATCTCCGTGTGCGTAAATCGTCTTCTTAGTCAGAGCTTCGCCAAGTTCAAACTTGTTAACGCCTAGAAGCTTGGCGATTTTCTCATTTAATCCGACGTCGCCAATTTCCGACGATTCGGAATGAGACGACGATCCAGATTTGAACTTTAAGTTGCCCAAGTGTAAAATCGCAGCGAGCAAAGTAAAAATATCCGAAGTTTGTTTATCGGTGAAATTAAGCACTTTCAACGCTGCGGCAATGTCCGAATACTCTTTGGCTTCGTTTCTGCCCTCGCAAGTGAGCGTACGACCACCTAGATAGTAGACAAGACTGGAATAGCTTTTTAATAGAGATTCGTAAACATACGGTCAGCAAAAAAGAGAACCATTGACGCTAAACCAAATTTGGAACAGCAAGTAAACCGGCAAGAAGACCTCATAAAATACAGGCATGGAAAGTGTACCAGCAAAGCAAAACACGAACAACCTGAGTATAAGTATCTCATAAGAAGTGAAGATGAAAGAAACATTAAGGAAACTAGCGAATTTTTAGGAAACAGATTTGCACTACGACAACGATTAAGCCCTATCAAAAGTGAAAAGTGAATTATAGAAAGCATTTTTAGACTTTTTCCCATTCTTCTGAAGCATCCTTTGTTATTATTTCATAAAATTCAAAAAATATGCTATAGGAATCTACCTATAGGTAATAATAACAATTGTAACATACAAAAATTTCTTACTAAATGCACCACGTACCATCATAATTTGTTTTTGCTTTGTTCTACAAATTTTAATAATGATAAATTCCCGAATTTCTTTTTTGAACCTTTCCTATGATAATAAACTATTAATAACAACTAAATCTAAGCGGCTCGAATCGGTAAAAAGTAGAAAGCAGAAACGATGTTTAATAAGTGCGGTAAACGGCATTTGATTCATGAGTTTATCCGGCACGAGCGGGCCCCAGCAGATCGAGTGTTTAATAAACAAGTGACTTAAAAACTTTACCGAACGTGATAATATACTTTTTCTCCTCCGGTCTGTAAAATACCTAATTACCCATCGATCTAGCGTGCGGGAAGCGTCACTTTCCACGTCAGTTTCGTTTCCCGTGATTCCGAGCCACTTCGGGGATTTTACCGCACGGATTTGGGAGCAATCGGATGTTTTCGGAGATATTTCCCAGCTTTGAATTTTGACGTTTGTCAATTCTGTACCCAAAAACTAACGGTCATAGAAAAAGTATAGTATGCAACACGTTCGGTAAAGTTTTTAACTCACTCGTTTATTAAAAACTCGCTCCGCTGTGCTTCGCTCGTGTCAAATAAACTCATGAGTCAAATGCCGTTTACCGGACTTGTTGCATAATATACTATTTTCTACTCCGGTCTGTAAACTACCCAATTACACACCCATCTAGCGTGCCCACACCTTGAATTTTGACGTTTGTCAATTCTGACGGTTATGTCAGTGAATGTTATTCGTGTTGTTTTGCGAAAATGTACCCAAAAACTAACGGTCATAGGAAAAGTATAGAATGCAACAAGTTTTTAAGTCACTCGCTCTGCTCGTGTTGCGTACTATACTTTTTATAACCGTCACGAAAAAATCACAATTTAACAAATTAAAAATAATAGCAGATTATCAGATTACTAAATTTCGTACCATTCAAACCAAATATTTACTAGGTGCCATTAAATCGATTGGTTTATCGTTCCGATCGGTTCTACCATTGTTGTATCTTTTTAACTGTGTACGTTAGATAGAGAGAAATGTATTATTGTTATGTTGTTTATTTAACTTTTACAATTGATCATTGAGTAGTTTATTTAAAGAAAAAAACTGTAATTGGAAGAAAAATCATCCAAGGATAGTGCTTTTAAGAGGATTAAATTTTTAAGATGATGTAAGCAACAAAAAGCAGGTTTTAAGCTTCGATTCTGTTTTGTTTGTACTGATGAGACATGATATTTGTAAGTCATTCAATTGGGCTTGGCAAGATATTACTATGAAAACTGTAAAAAACAGTTCATGTGAACGGTATGTAAAATTTCCTTGGGAAACTTAAATTATAAATGTCACTTGACTTACGGACTAGTCCACTAGATTTTAATTATAGCTTATAGCGCGTAGTGTTTAAATTGTTTGATATATTGCATAACATTTTTCTGTATATTAGTTTTTGAGTACATTTTTGAAAAACAACACGAATACATTCACTGACATGACCGTCAGAATTGACAAACGTCAAAATTCAAACCGTGCGCCAAAATCTCCGAAAACATCCGATTGCTTCCAAACCTGTGCGTTAAAATTCCGGAAATGTCCGAACTGACTCGGATCCGTGGGAAATGGAACTGATGTGGTGGTGCTTTCCGTACGCTAGATCCGCGTGTAATTAATCATTTTACAGACCGGAGCAGAAAAAAATACTTAATTTATTAACTGTCACCGATGTCCAAAAAAATAGCCACGAAACTTTGCTTTGCAGTTGATTAAATTATGAATACGAATTAAGAGATATTTTACGTCATACCTGTTTAATTAACGGCGGTTAGTTATATACCACACTGTGAGTAGAAAAAAATAAAAATGCTGCTGCAATGCGACAAATATAACGCATCCTTATGTGAAGCAATTGTGAGTTTTGTGAGTTGGGAATACAAATATTAGCAAATAGGGAGACTAATAGGAATTGAAAAATCGGATACAATAATAAAGAGATACAACGATTGCAAACTTAGCAGTCTCACCCTTCAGATATTCATAATCTTCAGCTTCGCCCAAATCCAGTCTTTTCCTCTCCTCTTTCGGTAATCCTGCAAGCATGCTGTAAAAGATGTGATAGTTCCTCTCGCCATCGTTTTGAGATACTATCCTACTCTTCTCCAACAGATATTGTTCGATTTTGGCGCCTTCTATGGCGCCTTTCGCGTTGAAATCCACGTTGATGTATTTGCCAAACCTGGACGAATTGTCATTTCTCACCGTCTTTGCGTTACCGAACGCTTCGAGAATAGGGTTGGCTTCAAGAATTTGCTGTTCCACCCACGAATGCTGACCGCTCGTTGAGGCCAAGTACTGGAGGATTAGTTTGGTGCTTTCAGTTTTTCCGGCTCCACTTTCTCCACTGCAACGTCGAAAAAACTTCAGTTAATTTTCAGCTGACGCTGTAGTTATGTTTTTGGTTCACTCGTACGCTTATTTTCTACGATAAAATGTTATTTCAAATCCTATTTGATAATCTTTTGGCCATCTAGTATTGGGATTATATGTTCGAGGTGCCTAAATCTCTGATGTAGATAATTCACGATTGTTCAACAATAAATCTTTGCTTACTTATACCAAAATTTGTAAAATATTGACAAAATATTATGTACTTATTTGTACTCACCGATTTATCTGAATTATTATATGTTTTGGCTACGTTTTTTATTATCACAGTTTATTCGAAATTCAAATTCTCAAGAAAAAGAAAAGGATTTTTTTTCGAAAATGCGAGCCATTATAGGAAACAAAACTGCAAAAATTAAACTTTAAAATTGCTCCTTTTACAATGGCAGTTTTGAAAAAAAAAAGTGAAACGAGTTTTCTTGTTGGCCCCTTCTCATTCGCGGGCCACAATGTAGCATTACCTGATAACGATACACTGATTTTTCAAAGTTTTTCTCATATCGTTGTAACTGTTATCCCCCACGGCGAATATATGGGGAGGGAGTTCCTCAAAATTCTTATCCCTATACTTATTGATTAATGCGTTTGTGTAGATGGGTAGTAGTTCGTATGGATTAATTGCCACCAACATCGTGCCCGTATAAGTCTGGAACGAGATATACACTTATTAACTTTAGAGGCTTCTGCCAACTTTTGTTTTTTTGGAAATTTGCGACTCACATAAATTGTTTTTTCTTTGTATCTCTTATGCAGGTTTCTTAAAATCGCGTATTCCTGTAAATCTCCCAAGTTAATCATATCGTCTACCCCTTTAACCGAGCTGACGTGCATAATGCGCAATATTTGTTGGTTTGCCACATACAGTTCGACCCCGTCGTCATCTTTAATTTTCACCCTGCTATTTTCGATAGCGATTACTCGTCCGCCAACGGGTATGTCGAATTCTCCTTGATTAACTTGGTTCACCCAAATATAATCACCCTGAAAGAAATTAGAATTTGTATGTTCTTTACTTGTAATTTTTTCGATCATAGGGAATCATTAAACATTAACATTAATTAACATTAACAAAATGGGCAGTTGATCTGTAAATCATCGTATTTTTATGTTGTGCACCTTGTGCGCACTTTTACAGATTTAAAATAGCAATAAATGCTTACTAAGTATCGAATCTTTAAAAACAATCTCCCATTAATTGTAATTATTACACTGCCTCATTTTTAAGTATCATTAAAGTTGGAAAATAGTTTCTCTTTGTTCAATAACGTGAAAATGTTAAAAATGTCGTATTCCGAATATACTAAGTAGTAGTGAAACAAATATTTGATTGATTAGATACCGGGATAAAGATTTTGTAAAACGGAAGTGAACGTTTCACTTATGATGCAAAAACTGTTCGAGTACCTACCCCATATTTGAATTTCCCATAAGGCATACCTTAAACATCGTTAATTTCATCTTTATTCTGTTTTGATTATTCCCCTTGGTTTATATGAACTTTTTTTAAAACTAGTCAATGTTAGTTAATATTTGACAGATGTACTAATAGACACCTTATATACACAAATTAATAAATATTAAATACAGCAGCATTAAGAGAAGTTATGTTAACAATTCGTTACACAGACTATAATATAATAGTGCAGTCTGTAATAAATGCGTAAAAAAAGTGATAATAATGATACCGAGTAAAATGTTGGTCTTTAGTGAGTTCCAGAGTGTTGAAGTTTAGTTTTCGAAATTGTCATTTCCCTATAGCTCGAGCTGTTTTGAGATATCGACATGTAAACTTAAATCCGGTGATATTTATAGAGGTGATTAATACTAGATTCTATTTTTTCACATGTGTAGAAGCCGCTAGTTCTACTCTGTTTCGCTATTTCAACAAAGCTTATCAAAATAAAATAAACGGTTCTCGGGAAAACCAATTTTGGAATTGATACCAGCTTTTGGTGGCCAATTTTATGTGACGGTATTTTAATGCAAATATCTAGTAAACGGTGTATTTTATCGCAATAAATGTAGTCATCACTTGAATATAATTTAAATACCTCTACACATTATGTAAAAAAATGGAATATAATTTTATTCGCTATCTCGAAAAACTCCTGAATCCAAGTTGTCATGTCGATATGTCAAACAGCTTGAGCTCGAGAGAAATAGCAATTTCGAAAACTAAATGTTAGTAGTCTGTATTTTACAAGGCATCTGACTCCATATCACTCTCACCACTTTAATCTAGGATTGCCTTTTGGCACACACTCAAAAACTATCGAAGTGATTGTCGTGTATTATTTACTCAATTATCTGATAAACTATGTGCGTTATCGCGAACACTCTAACATCAAAGAAAAAAACACATTTGCGCATTTTATTTGAAATGCAATTGATTTTTATCCGAGCTAAACGGACGTAGATCTAAACGCAAGCAAAAAATATAACGTTCAATTTTTAAAGCTGTGATCAATTTTACAAACTCACCAAAACTAAACCTTGCTTGTTACTCATTTTTATAAAATTGCATTTATCCAGCAGAGACACTTTCGCAGCAGACGCGGAAACTTATATCAGAGTGAGTCACGACAGCCGATTCTGCCACATTTTGGACTAAAACTGTGAAACTCATATTCATTTGTTATCAAAATCTACGATAACCAACAAATTCCACTGTTTATTGAGTACCAATCCAGATTAAAATATCGATAACCATGGATTTGGGTGGGGATTTATAGTATCAGCTTACAAATTTAGCCTGAGCGTCTGGTGCGAGCTCAAAAGAAAACACCACCAATATCGGTGGGATAATAAATAATTACTTCAATTCAGAAGATCATATAGCACCTCACATCCGCCAAGTATATGAAAACAAAACTAATTAAAACTTGAAAAATTGCGTTGGAAGAAGTTTTCTTAATTACCCATCCTAGTTTCAGTAAATTAGGCTCGACTAATCTTGCAGTTCGTCAGCAAATTTTGTTGCCTGTTAGATCACTAAGTTAATCAGGCAATTCCGAAATGTAATGGTTTACTTAACTGAACCAATTAGTAATATAAGCAACTATCCTACCGGTAAACTTTACAGAAGATTTTCCAGTATTATTAGTGTTACGTAATAGTTTAATTGTGCACGTAAAATGTGGCCGAACCGATATTTCCCAAAAAAAGTGGTATGCACTTTTTTAGAATTTGGGGTTATTTTGTAGAAAATTTTTCAAAAAATGAGTTTCAGGAAACTTCAATAAAATTAAATAACTAATACAGCAGCGATTATGACCAAATTCCAGCTTCTATGGTAAAATTATCGATACCAGAGCAGCTTAAATTAGCTTTAATTAAACCAGTTCATAAAAAGAAAATCTAAACGATTTAAACAACTATCAACCAAGTTTTTTGCCCAGTTTCTCTAAGCTCTTTGAAAGGGTGATTCATATTGGTTAAATTTATAAATATTATTTTATCCCAGCATACGTACTGCATCAACTAGCATCGTCATTTTTCAATTCACGAAAGTAATTCTTGGACAATTTGAGAAAAAAAACAATAGGTTTATTTTTAGATTTAAGTAAGGCGTTCGATTGCCTAGACCATGGAATTGCATAAAATGGTATTATAGGTAAGGCATTCAATTGGATAAAATCATATCTTTCCAATAGGAAGCATCATGACACAAAATGAATGCGGGAAATTTAGAAAATAGTGTAGGGGTGCCGATACTGGAACCAATTTTATTCATTTTTTATTTGAACGACTTACCAATGTGTATAAATAATTTCTTTATTACAAACTTTGCGGACACAAATATCCAAGTACCAGGAGAAATCATATTAGAGCTGATAAATGAAACCAAAAATGCATTTGACGAAATAAATTTGTCGTTTAGGCAAAACAGTAAAAGTAAAATGATTTTATTTCGAACAAAACAAAGGCCACTCACCCTGATTCGTGATTACATAGAACTAAGTAAAACAAATGCTGAGTTTATAGAAAATATAAATTTATTAGAAATTCACTCAAATAGCTATCTGGACTGTGATTATACAAACTGTATGTACAAATATAAACAGACTAATCGAGAGTTATATTAGAACTTGAATAAGGAATTATTTATTGGGCTAATTTTGAATCTGTTTTTGTGCTTTTGACATGAAAAGGGTTTTCATGATGATCAATGAAGAAAGTGAAAACAAAGGGAAAGCTTTAGGCAATTGCAATTTATGACTGTGTATACAATCTATATTTGGGAAGGTCTAATATTTATATTCAAAAAAAGAAATGAGTTCACCGGAAATATTATACATAATCATAATCACAACACACACATATCATGCTACCTAATCACAGACTTTCGATAACTGAGAAAGCACTATATTATAAGATAGCCATCCACCAAATTCTGTGAAATATATCACTTATAATAATACTTTGGTTATTTATATCGAATAATCGTTGTTGTCCATGATGTTTCATTTGTACTTTTCTTTTTGTAAAATCGAATTGCAATAAAGAAGTGTTATTTTATTATTATTTTAAAAGGATTTCTTAACATTTCCCAGGAGGAAAATTTAAGAGGTGCAAAAGAGTTTAATTTTTCATATGTTTAATATGTGGAACATAGAAAACTCTGCCAAATTGCAAAAAATAATTAACTAAAAGATCCAAATGGAATACCTAAGTTAAGCTACTTCGTGCAGAATTCGAAATATGTTCTTGTAGTATATGTTTTGTCCGTGGATTGTTGCAAAATTATGAAATGGTTAACTCTGTTAAAAGAACGGTGTCAATTTGGATATTTAAAGCATGCTAGACAGCCGCTCGAGGTAGATGTTTTCATACTGTGCCGGACGATGTTATTGCAACGACAAAATCTCTCGTGGAGTTGCGGTCGCTAAATTTTCCGCACACGCTCGTTGCCAATCCGAATGTCTCGTTTTTAACCGTGTATTTTTCATTTTTCAAAACGGTCCAAGATGCGGTGCCGAGAGCTTCGCGCGATTCCTGCTGAATTTTGACGTTCCTTTGCCGCGGAAAAATAAACAAACTGACGAATTCCGAAAAATCGACTCGTAAATATGGTTCGCCGTTTATATTTCTAATATTTTAGCGTCGAAATAATGCAAAATTAGCAAGTATGCGGGATTAACTTGACGCGGAAGAATTCGGTTTTGTTTTGGTTAGGTTCGTTTATTAATGCGAACATCGTGAAAAGTTGACAATATTTTTCGATAAAATGCTTTGGAATATGCTTACGTCGTGTGTGATTTCTATATTTATTTTTGCCGGTAAGTGTCTATTGTTACCATTAATAATGAACGTAAAACTCAAATTATTTTTGTGTCCATTTAATAAAACACAAGAATATATATTCTTGCACTTAAAACGATAATGTATTAATAGTGCCAAAGATCCGTGATTTGAAAACCGTAAATTTCATAATTTTTGTTTTAATCTCATTAGTTGGTAAATACTATAGTAAGGTGCAAGTTTAGTACCAATTAGAATAAAACTATTAATTTTATTGGCGTCGCAGAAAACACTTTAGCGAATAATAAGAAAAAAAAAAGAAAATAAATTTCGTGAAATTTATTTTTTGTTTGACACCCTGCATCTAGGAAAGCAATGCATCTCCTGACCTGTGTTTGTATACATTTTTTGCTTTAAAGTCAGTGAATCAAATAATCAACTAGTTTGGTTACTCTTGGTTATCCTTAAATTTAATCACACAGACGTCCAGAAACTGGCCAATTATCGTAGGAAACATGAGAAATATAAAACGTTTTACTTGTGCGGATTAAGATGACGTCCTTGGCATTATATTATATTATATTTTCTATTTATATATTCTCATAATTTATTAATATTGATAAATAGTAAAATTAAATTATAAAAACAGAACTTTTCAATTTTTTATATATAATTTGTAGAAAAATATAATTATTGTTAACCATATAAATTAATTAAGCGAAATTAAATTATAAAAACAGAATGTCTTAAAGAATATTTTCTTTAACAATTGTCCTTAATTACACGATATTTCTTTTTAAATACGTGTCTGTCAAAGGCAATAATAACTTTTCATTAAAAAATTCTGGAAGCTAAGTAGTAAAAAGAAATGAAAATCAGATAGCATAGAAGCAAACTTATTCGTTTCATTATTGAACAAATTGTCATTTTAAATTTATAATATGTTTCAACATCAAATAAGTGTAATGATATAACACAATCGAAGTAAAGGTTTCGACCATCAACAACATGTATTTCGCATCTGCATTTAGGCCAGTCGGTATTATTATCGTTAAAATTTTGTAATCGAACACAAACCAGAAGCCAATGCTATGGTTTAATTTTATACGAGACTTTGTTTAAGGTTAAAGTGATGTTGGCAAATATCACTTCATAGGCCCTACTTGTGCCGTGTCCTTCGTTTAAAAATAAAGATGAAATTTTCGATCGCAAAATCTATGCTAATGTGTTTAATGATTACCAGATCTAACAAAGTCTACACGGGAATAATATGAGTGAGCAATTACAACACACTTTTTTTATTTCTACTAAAATATTATTAATAAGTATATACACAATTAACTTATATCGCGAAGGCCGGAATATAAATTTTTAGCGCGTTCCTATTTCAGTAGAGCCTTGATTCTAAAAGCGAAGTAAATAGCGTTTTCTATTTACAAAAATTTTAATTAGCATTGCAAACTGGAGTTTACGCTCTCAAAACAAACGGGGTGCTTCAGAAATTTATCAACGAAAAATTATGTTTTTTGACGTTAGTTTACATTGGTTATTCAGGTAGAGTTGCAGAGCAAATATTAAAATTTTATTCTATCGCGATGTGTGCAGGTATGTGAACTGCTACATATTCATTTGCACCTGTGTCTATCAGTATCCTTAAGCTAATTCCACGAGAGATAAAAATTTATTTAAACATTATTTTATTTAAATGCGGTGTTTCACGACATTATTGTCCGTTGCGCAGACCTAGAGCGTCGGAAAACATGAATCGCGTTATTGTCACGTAATTTTTTTGTAAACTAACCGCATAGGTTTGAATTTAAATTTATATACGCGCTACAAGGAAAAAAAAATCCTTAACTGCTAGGAAAATTATTTATGCATTCCATTTTTTGAATTATTGTCGAATAAATTGCTTCCGCATAAATAATCAGAACATTCAGTCAGAACCTTTTATAGCCATTCGTCAGTCGTTTATGGCGTGTAAATATTTCACAGCGCAACCTCAAATAATAATTAAAAATTACACACGTGTCGATTCCCTTCAAAGTCATTTGTAAGTCAATGTAAGTTAAATTTTTAAGCTACGTTACCTAACTAATATACGAATAACGAAAATTAATTTAATAATTTTCATGACTTTTCACAAAACTTCTGAATTCCTCCTGCGTCGGTTTTTGCTGACTCGAACTTGCTGACGTTTCGCCAATCATCCTGTTGGCTTCTTCAGAGCTTGACTGAAACTCAGCAGGAGGAATCCAAAAATTTTCATGACCTGCAAAAACTAATATAACAATAACTAAAAATGTGATAAACTACAATAATATAGTAACCTAAAACTTCCTCCTCTACTATACGTAAATTGCAATCGCGTTGTAATTTTTTGCTAGTTTTTCTCGGACGTTTTTGCACCAGTTATGAACACGGGACAGAGTCTTTCTCAAAATCCTGCAAATATTTTTCAATTAAAATTAAAAAACTAAATTACACTATTACATTGAAAAAAGAAAAATACTCCATTTAATTAAATCAATCGGTTAAGGCATTTTGTTTTACACAAAAAAAATATGTACAAAATCGTTTGATATAGTTCGACAACATACAGTTCTTGACACTTCTGGACTTTCCTCTCAAAAAACCAATAAAAAAATATGCCATTTATTTTTCCAAATTTGCATACCCTGCACATCTAATTGAACATATTGCATAATATGGACACGCTGTATCCGTGCATTTCAATTTCAATTCGATGTTTACCCGAGTTGCCGGTAGTAAATATACCACGTGCCAAAGCCCTTTATTTATAACATAATGGCGGCCAATTTGGGCGTAATAAAAATCCGTGTTGAATAATGGGAGCAATATATTGTTCATTGTATAAACAGGAGACAGTATACGATAATGGGCCGAGCGTGCTGCCTTGCGGCACTCCCACACCGAGCTCGTTTCTAATATAACTGTACAAAACTATGCGAGTCTTCCGTTTCCGCGTGCCTCCTCCTTATTAATCTTCATTCGCCGCTGACACGGATTCCTCTACGTCTGAAAGCGTCTGAGCAGATGTCAACGCCAAGAATTCCGTTTCCTCATCCCGAATTATTCAATTAAGAAAGTAAATCGGATAACTGGCCCGTGATATTCAAAGCAGTAGCTCCAACGCTCCACAATTTTAGAATTTAAATTAAACTTAACTTAACATGATGACTACGAAGGGCTAGATACATCGATAATGTCATATATTGTGGTAACTGATAATCTTTAAAGGTGTTTATGTCATATCATTTGAAAGATTGTACTCAGAGTTGACAATTTCTAAGATTGCTACTTTGTTACAGAGCGAACATTGTAAAGTAATGCACAAAATAATCCCATAAGCTTCTTAAAAGTAACACTTATCTTAAATAACGTAAACGTTTACAATTACAATGTGCGAGGCACAAACATGTATTTCTACAATACTCGTATAAGGCTTAGCTCAGCGCTCAACAACCCTGATTTATGCAATTGTACAACTTAATAGAGTGCTAAAGTAAAGGACATAAGTGAAGCATCTATGAAGCAATCATCTACCCAAATAACTTGCTGTTTAAGATTATATATGTAACGGACTAATAAATATATTACACACCAAAAAAAAATAGTTAATTAAATTGCTTCTTGGATTGCTGCTTTGATTTAAACAAAACCTATTTCCTTAGAAATTAATTTTTAACGCTAACTAACGCTACTTCTCAGACCTTGATTTGTTGACGATCTCATATGATTCCCTAAAGCACTTACTGTTAGACATCTGGGTAGACACTCTTTCTTTGTCTTTTTGAAATACTATTTTTATTTCTTCATTTTACATATATCAAAATACTATCGAGATAGAGAACATTCTCAAAAATGTTTTATCATGAATTCAACCTATAAACCTCCATTTTTTCCAGATAGAGGATAATGTTAGATATTTGTCTTAAATGCTATCGACGTTAATGCATCTGGGGCCGTCCTTAATGTTTTAGGAAAATAAAATATCGCGATATATTTTTTTAAACGAGCCCTATTACTTTTTCCGAGATCCCCATCCTGTGAATCCTTATCTTGGACACACTGTATTATGGAGCAACATATTCGCAATCCACGCTGTGCACACATTGTTTATCGTTTTTAACCTTGACCTTCCTTACGTGTATTACACAAATGACAAACCATTATCTACAGCGACATTAACCGCAGGAGATTCTACCTCATGCGTGTATAAGATTTATTGCCCAGAAATTACTCTAATGGCTTATGCGGCTGTAAATCAAACGCATAAATTGTCGTTTGTTTATTTTAAATGGAATTTTGCAAATGACATTTCGCCATCGTCGGCTGACACTAAATTTCATGTCAAGTTCGTCGGGAAAACGTTCACATCTTTATTGCACATGAAACTCGACCAAGTCCATAAACTCTGCCCCTTTGCTCTCCTCTCTGGATGGTTTGTGGTGATCTGGCAATTCAGCATCTTCCATTCTACTGCTTTTCAACGCTGGCATTATAGACATCTGACGCGATTTTCCTTTCGCTTTACTACCGCTCACCGTTATTCCAGGAATGACTGTCATTCTTCTGGACGACGGCATCGCGGACATCTGCTTAAAGAGGTACGAAGCTTCGTCTTTCATCTTGGCGGTCTGCATCATCGAAATAATCTTCTTTTCGCGTTTCTCCAATTCTTGCGGACCAAATATGTCGTCGAATTCTACACCCTCGGCTACGTCCATACACTTGTTAATATAATCGACCAGATCATTGTCGTGGAGCTGTTCAGCACATTTCATGGCTTCTGCCAGAGTGTTTTGAGCGTCGTTCTTGTTATGTTGCTGCAGATTGCATTTTACCATCAGCATTGTACCGTTCAATTCCCAGCGCAAGTTTGGAATTGTTTTCGCTTCTTGGATACACTTCCGCGAGTACACTCGAGCCAAATCTAATTTCTTCAACTCTATGTGGTACCTGAAAGGAGATAAGGTTGAATACCAGAGGTGACCATCAATGCTTGTTGCTGCTTTAACCCCAGCAGATCGAATCGCCATATTATTTTACTGCTTAATTTAAGGTCAAAATAAAATTTCCTTTTTGGTTCACGATTGGAATTTAGTGTTTATTTTATTGCTCTTTGATATTACATCGATGTACCAAAAGATTCATAATTACACTGCACTTTCTCGATATGAAGGGAGCCATCTCTTCCAGATTTCTGGGATGAAAGATATAAAGCATGAAATAAGGGGAAAAAAAGAGGAAATAGTGATGAGGATTTTATAAAATAGTAAATAAAAAGTGAAAAGCGCAGAGATCAATAGAACATGATATATCAGTTGAGTTGTTATTGATACACTAGAGGAAGAAGACACAGCTTTGAGTGTGATGAGACTTATAATGTTACTAGAGGCCTAAAAAATAATTGGACAAACTGATCCATGCGGAAGCGTTGATCTAGGTAGTTATTCTATAAAAAATATATGTTTAAACATGATTTTTTTGTCATAATAAATAATTATTGGCAAATGAGATTCTCAACAAAACCTCCACCATTTTTGAGCGACCAAGGACTGATTCATAGAAAACAAACTTGTTTCAAACGCTGATAAAAAGAACTACCTAAGTTTTAATTGAAAGTAGAGGAACTGAGACATCCCGGGCATGTTGCCTTATTAGGTATAAGAGCTTTCCAGTGTTTAAAGAAAGTAAATTCATCATGCTTACTTTTTAACTATTTAAGCATAGCACAGGCACACTATCATGCATTTGTAGTGCAGAGAAGGGCAGTAAGAGACATTTTAAAAGTACGGAAATTTCATTTATGTCGAGAAGCTTTTTAGAAACGTGGTTTCTTAACACTTTACACAGGTAGTCTTCCCTTTCTGTACCGAAATAGGAAAACATTCATCAGATTTGATGATCAATGTTGTCCCGATGTCCCGACATGATACCTTGTGCTAAAGTTCCCGTAGCCTACAACCTGTTATATTTCTCAATGAATTACCAAATAATATGAAACGGGTACGAAGCTTTAACAATTTAAAAAAAATAACAAAAAAATCTGATAATAGACATAGATCCCTACACATCGCAGGAGTTTCCTGACAATACAACATTTTATTACTTTACATTGACGGTCTTCATCTATTTTCAATTGTCTATACTTAACAAGTCTTGTGTGTCTGTCAAGTGTGTATGTGATATAATTAAATGTACATTTATTTGCATTCTGATATAGATGTTTTAGAGTACGCTTGACACTTTTATATTCAGTTGTATTATCTTGTAGCGGTATACACTTTTTTATAAAAGATGTTTTGAGGATTGATTGATTTGAGTTTTAATTTTATTCTATTTAAAGGAACTAATTCTTTCAAACCCTACTGATTATCCATTTTGTTTCTCTACAGTTGTGTTTAAACTTGTAAGTTTAGACTCTTATTATTTGAGTAGCTGAGATCAACATCTTAAACTAGGCTTCGCGCTTTCGAGATGTGGGTATGTAATTAGATTTAGTAATTTTGTCCAATATTTTGTACACGAATTTAAAATATCCCAATAAAGACGATTATTATTAATATGATCTTCAGATCTTGTTTATCTCTGTGATACTACGCAAGGAACATGGGTATCAACCAAAATAAACAATTAGGAATTTGAGAAGCTATTGGATGACCAATATAAAACTTACTTTTACTGAAAGAATATGCTTACAAACGTGCAGAAATCAACCAAAATATTCCTACGATTTTTATATATTTTTTTCATTAGAAAAGAAAACACCGCAAGCAATAGGAAAATAGATCATGCTTAATATTTTTTTTTAAGTCAAAGTTAATTTGTAACACATAGTAAGTAGGGCAAACTTCAATCAAAACAACAATCTTGCCTATGACTCTTAACACAACTAACTTAACTAAGCAGCTAATAGAAAGCTTTATAAGTGTGGATCAAACTTTCTTCGTACCTCGACAATTCGTGATAATACCAGCATATCTCGTCGGGTAAAACAGCGTCTTGTAGTCGTTGCTCGAACTCGTGGATAAGTTTTTTGTAATCGAGATATAAGCCTTTAAATTCCGCCAACACCGAATCAGTCGAAGGTTCGCGACTTAGTTGCAAACCGAAAATGGCGTATATCCTTTTGTTTTGCTCGTACAAACTATGGCTCGGATTCACCCTGTATACTTCGTAAAATGCCTTACAAACCTTGTCGTAAATTTCGTGCATGTAGTCGTCCTTGTTGGGCAACAACCTTCGCGGTTTCGAATCGCAATACCTCTTTAATTTTTCCACGAGACTTAAGAACATCTTCAGCTTCTTGTTCGAGTAGGCGTCCAACATCCTTTCGAGGATGTGATCCGCCTCTTTTTTTGTCGTTTCCTGTTGCTGCACCAACTCCAACTTCTGTCTTTCTTTCAACGCTCCGGATATCTTCGCTTCTTGATATTTTATAAAATAAAACGGTCTTCGTGTTCTCAGCAACTCCTGCTTGTTCGATACCGTTTTGTAGCAGTCCATTGCTAATTGCTTGATCTTCAATGACCCTCTTTTGTTTGGGCAGTGCGCACCCGGTTCGTTTTGTATTTTTTTTAGAAATATCTTGTCCAGGTACATCGAGTCTAAATATTTTTCCGCCATGTAATTCTCCAGATTCGATGTGTAATTTTGGAGCGGCTTAAACGGCAGTGCCCCTACGAGTGGAGGGATCGGTTCATCGTCTGCCTTTTTAGAATGGAGCGAATCTCTAATGCTCATCCCCTCATCGTCAACTGCAATGAAACACATATCTTTAAAAAATATTGTTTCAAGTGCCGAATATTAACAAAGGCTAGGAAGTACACTCTCTCTTTTGCCCTTGTTGCGGTTAAATGTAAGAGTTCGACGGGTCGGAAATCTCAATTCCATTTTCTTTTACTTGAGCGATTCGGACGTCATCGGATAACAAGAGCTATTGAAGACGGTAGAAGAGGGAAGGATATTGTTAAAATTCACTGCTTAAAAAAGAATGCTCCATATATAAATTTTTTAAGTTAACTGTGAAACTTGATAATGCATTGAGCACTGCTAATGGAACGTGTGCAATTTTACTCACAAGAAATATATCAACCTATCACTACGCAACCTAACTCAAAAATTGGTCATAAAGATTTAACAGCAGATTCAAAACTCAAATCGAGCTAACCAAAACTAATAAACGGAAATCAGGAGTTTTGACCATAAGGTTACTTATTATAAATCTTCTGGATTCCTCCTGCCTCGGTATTTGTTGGGTCGAACTAGCTAACGTTTCGCCAATCATAGTGTTGGTTTCTTCAAAGCTTGACTAAAACTTTATCGCATTTTACTCTGTACCTCGTTTTATATTGTATATGTAGGTGGATATAAACACACACAATAACTACGGGATCACCTTATATATGAAGAGGTGGTAATGCCCAGTTCCTTTGGATTTTGTTATGAAGTCAAGTTTTCGAAAATGAATGTAGAAACCATCAGGACACTGATGATGAAACTGGCTCGCATTTTACGGTGTACCTCCTTTTATGTTATTTGAGGGAAACGGAGCTAAATGAGAGGCATAAACACTGTCGCGAATAACTTATTCTCACATTGCTGACAGGTAAAGACTTGAGTCGCGGTTAAGATTGTCAGGTTGCTTATAGATTTCTATAGACTCTCGGATTTTTCGTTGGTAGAAGAATGCAAGAATTTTAGTTTTATCGACTAAAAATTTATATCCGGTTTCGTGATTGTGTTCGGCAACTGCTGATGAGTTTATTTGTCTTAGTCTTAAGGCTCGTTCATGTTCTTTCAGCCTAGTTGAAAATTTTCCTCCAGTCTTTCCAATGTATTCTTTGCCGCGTATGCATGGAATGCTGTAAACTCCTCACATCTCAAATGGAATTTTGTCTTTGACGGATCGAAGATGTTGAGAGATTTTTGGACAAGTGGTAAATCTGGTTTTGACGTTATATTTCTTTAGAATTTTTGATATGTTGTCAGTGATGTCTTGAATGTAAGGAGGGACAACAGTGGCAAGTGTGGGATTGCTTTCGGCTTCATTGCTATTGGAAGGTCGTGGTAAAGCGTATTTTGTGATGGAACGTTTAATATCCTCAATGTAGGAATTATTTGAGAGAAGAGCAGAGGTAATGTGTTTTAATTCTGGGTTTAGTGACTCGGGCTGAGATAGTTTTACGGCTCTCTAAACAAGATGATAACCGATGATTTTTGGGCCGGATGGTGATGTGACATTGCACTAAGATATCGTAGGTTTCTGTAAACACAATGACCCAATGTTAAGTCTGATTTTCTGTTGATAAGAATATCTAAAAATAGGTTGTTATTAGTTTCTAATTCAAGGGTAAAACGTATGTTAGGGTGTATAGAGTAAAGAGGGTGTATCGACGTAGCGTTTCCATAATTTTGCTGTTCCCGACGTTTGTTCAAAAATTTGACCGTTATAAGAAAACATTTTTCAATTAACGTGAGAAGGTTTGGTTCCAGATTCTCAGATTTTAATATATCTGAAATGATGATGAGAGTTTCAGGAATAGGAAATTTTAATAAAAAGGGATTCTACATCGAAACTAACCAGAATATCATGTGTCTCTAATGTAATACTTTTTAAGTACGAATCTATCAGTTTTCCCTGTAAAGGGTTTTAATAAGGAAGCTAGATATTTTGCTAGAGAATATGTTGGACAACCAGTGGTGCTGACAATAGGTCGAAGGGGTAATACTGATTTTTGAATCTTTGGGAGTCCTTAGAGACGAGGAATTTTATGGGTGGCAGTTTTTTTCACGGAGTGTGATAGAGAAGAAGCCTTAATGATAGATTTAAGGTTGCGTTCCATAGATGACGTAGGATATGATCCTTAAGAATATCTTGAATCTTTTCCTGATATCGTCGCAGGAGGAATGCAGAAATGTTATAATTTATAATAAGTATAGAAGAAGTTTCTTTGAATACACTTAAGGTTGTCGGTTTAGAATCGATCTATACCGTTGGACGTTGGTATGAACGTGCTGGCCCCCCATTTTACAAATATATAAGAATAGTGCTTGCAAATTGCTTTAGTAGCACCGCAAAAAATTGAGGCAATGGATGATCGAGAAACCTGCACTAAATAAATTAATATGGATATTGAGGTAATCGAATATTTCGTCTGAGGCAACGGATAAAGCAAATTGTTTTGTAGCCTTTGTTGGATGAAATTAACAATTAGTAGACTTCTCATTACGTTTTTTTGCTTTCGCCTTTTTAGGTTGGACGGGTTCTTGAATCGTATCACTATGGATGAGCTTGTGGAACGTGGAGGCTTTGCTTTTCTTTTTCGATTTGGTTCTCGGTTTGGGCTCGAAAGGCTTCTGCAGTTCATAATTCCTCTTCCACGCCAACCTGCGTATTATTTTAAAGTGATCCGCTAGTGGACGACCTGTTCTCTCTCCGAGACAATTCTCGATCGCGTCGGAGCAGTGCATTATGCCAATAACGAAATTATCTGGTTTTTGCCGTTTAGGCGCGAGCCGAGAATTTTGGACCAAACCTAATTCCGTATCAAAATTTTAAATGTCAAAAAGTGCCACTACGTAACGATTGTACCTTTTTCAAACTCGCAGCAGAGATACGTATTCAAGGCTTTCTCAGCTAAGATGCCCAGGTCATCGGGATACAGCGAAAGCGCTTTGTTTATATCTTCCAAGGCGCCTTGGTAATGGATAGCTTTGGCTCTCGCACGTGATCTACCTATTAGTGCTCTCCTATCATCCGGGGTTTTTTTGAGTGCTTCGTCAAAGAACTTAAGCGATCTCTCGTATTGCTCCAGTCTCGAAATGTAGTAGCCTATTTCCCTGTATAAAGTTTCATATCCATAAATCTCTTCTTTTTTGGCGTATGCCTGTAGTATTCCAGCCGCCATCGTTAGAAAATTGACATTAAAAACTGATTTATTGTTGACCGTGAAGTTGACAGAATGCCATTCATAGAAAAAAGAATATTAATTAGTCCTGCGTGGACTACTGTGCATACAACGGCACAAATACAGCCAATCAGTCCATATTTGCTTGTGGTAAAGTGCGACAAAGAAACTAATTCGCTCTGTCCTATGTGTTATTGGACAAAGATTGATAGGCAGGAATTAATAAACCCTAAAATACTAACTTTAAAATCATAAAATAGTATATTATCCATTAAATTTGATTACCGATACTTTAGTCACTAGTTGTACTGCCCAAACGATCCTAGTGCTTAATAAACCAGTGCCTGGAGAAGTTTAGATTCATTAAATACTTTTTCCGAGACCATTAGTATTTGAGTATATTTCTGCAAAACAACACGAACACATTCAATCAGAAATGATGAACGTCAAAATATAGTGTTTTAAATATATCGAAAATATCCGATCAGTCCCAATTCGTGACTAAAGTCCCCTCTCAAAGTGGTTGCCAACATTGTTTAATGAAACTGCCATCTTAAGGTGATATCCTTTTGCAGACTTGATCATGCATAATTAAGTATTTTAGAGCAGGGAGTAAAAAAAATTAAACTAATTAAACTAACTGTTTTCTATATATAAGAAAGAAAAATCAATATGTGAAACACGTTACATAACAAAGGCTTACTAAATCTAGTATAATACTTTCAAAATATAGGATAATACTTTCAAAGTATTCTTATGATTCCATCTTTATACTGGAGAATTTTATTGCCGAGTTGGTACCTACTAAAACCTTAGTATTCTTCATTAAATAGTGAAATAATAATTGTATTAATAATAATAATTACATTTCGAAAATTCAGGATGTGATTTTATAAGTGCTTTAATTTTGTCGAAATACTGACTATTGCAAAACAAAAAACAAAAATACTTACTTCCAATGTTAATTTTGTAATTGAAAATTACAGAAAATTGCTAAAAATTTAAATCCCTTGCTTCTCCTCACAAGTTATGATTTGCCTTGCCTTATTATTTGACAATTGTTTTTTTTTTCAGTATGTGTGGGACAACCTAGGGAAAATAACAGCGTGAGATACCGATACATTTGTCCGGAAACCTTCAAGCAAATTGGGAAACAATGCTACCACTTCAGTAATTCAAGCGATACGTGGTTCCAAGCATATTACAAATGCAACTTGACTGTCCTCTCTGAGCGATATGACTTTCGTTCTCTAGAACAATATTTTTTAAGGAATACGAGCCGTCACATCGGTATGTTTGTTACCGGGAAATACCCGAAAATTCTTACCCGACACAACTCGTACGCGATGTTATCCTATCAATCCGACAAACGTATGGCCGGCTATAAATCATAAACTAGGCCGCAACATTTTTAATCAAATAAACGAGGGATTACTCATTTCTGTATATTAGCCGCCATCCAGATGCTCTAATAAAAGTAGCATCACCGGACGCCTGGGAAATTAAAATTATCGACTGATATATTGATGAAACGCATTTATTTACGGTGTAGATAATTTAGAAGCAATAGTGCGGCGATTTGAAGTTGTTTCCCAACACTTCTTTAATTTTTTTTTATGAAAAAGCCTTCATTAATTTCTTATCACCATTTTATTTCACTTTCTCTTCTCTTAGCATTGTCACAGTTTCCTGCGATTTTTAGGTAAGAAGGGCTATTGGATTGCAGCCATCAAGGATTGGAAGCAAAATAAGTGGATGTGGTATTCTTCCGGAAAACCTGTAAAGTTTCCTGCAGCCATCGAGGAGCAATACCAGCAAAAAGAATGGATATGCCTCTCGTTTGATATATCGACACGAAGGTAACCGTAGATTGTGATCAGTTAGTTTATGGGGGTGGACAACCAGATCGCAATGATAAAACAGTTTTCTATTTTAGATGGGTGGCGAGAAACTGCATGGAGGAACTACCGTACATTTGTCAAACGGAGCCTAAAGCGCTCGTTGCTTTCAAGATAGTGGACAAGAAATTCAAGAGAAAAATAAGCTTGGACAAATGCATTACCGACACCCAAAACCTTTCGAGACGGCAAAAGTTTAAATGTGAAAAAATCTTAAGAACTAACGGACTAAACTTGCACCCAAACGAACCAGCAGCAGTAAGTGAGTAATTAAGATATACGAAAAGATTACGTCCTGTATATTTTGAGGAAAACTAATTTTTTCCGTTGTGAATTATGTGTAGCCAGGCTAAAAGATTTATTATGCTAGACTCGCTCATAAATACGAACACGAAAGCAATAAAACACACTGAACCATCGGTGATTCCATAAATTGTGGTCTTTGATGGACCAACACATGCATTGCAAAGGAGAATTATTATGTCATACGCAAAATGTTCTATCTTAATTTAAGCGCAGCGGCTTGACTACCCTGCGTGGTAATTATTGAAGCAGATGCGTAGGTGTGTATCGAATCTCTTTAAATATACGGTGTTCGAAAAGTTGATCAAAAAACAACGATAGCATACTTTAGTTATCATCCGGTTTGCGAAATATAAATTAATTGTTGACAATAACTTATAAGCAATGCAACTTATTGCTCGTGTTCATCGAGCATGAACAGAGGAAATTAAAGTGCGTGAAAGAGGGTCTTTAGCAAATAGTCCAAGCCATCTCTCCAGCCAGTGGAAGAAAAAATGCAAGGCATCCTCTCCTAACAAATTTAAATGTTCAAGTCTTGTTTGCTTTATTGATTCTTTTTACTTTACAGAATACTTAGATGGTCATTCCTAGGCTATGTTGACTCCTTTTTGCATCTATTTAATTTCCGGTCCCCCTGTACAACAACCGTTTTTGTCCCTAAAGACCATCACTAATTTGAAGTTCTTCTTTTCTTTCCAATTAAAAAACGTCTACGATTATCATATGTCCATAGACTGTCGGATTGCATTTACAGCAAAATCAATCTAATCAACGTGGCCATTATGGTAATTTAATTATCAATGGCTAGAAAATTATTTATGTAGATAATAGTCAAATAACATGTTTCGCAGGCATTATCGAACCCAAGTGCCTCGGGATTTTTTTTTTTATTTAACCGAAGAATCTAAAGAATGTCTCTTATTTCGCAGCAACTGTATATGACAAAATAATACGACAATCACGAAAACAATTACACAAATAAAATTAAAATCAATTTTAAAGTGCTGCAATAGTACTTGCAAATCTTTTGCAACGCGGAATTGCACTAACAATACATTTCATGCCATTTTTGTTGCAATTTGTTTTATATGCTGGCTAAATTACAAATATTTAACGCGAGCATCTTGTCAAGCCATTTTTGATTGTTTTGCGGCGATAGCCTTGGACACATTTAATAATTAATCGTTGCTATGGCGACAGGAAAATTCGATATTCTCATCGTAGTTCCATCTATTAAAATTGATCTTAAAAATCATATTCTTGCCGAGGAATTTTTTAATAATTTTGCGCCAATTCGGCGGAACTTGTAAAACTTTATATTGATAGTCAACATTTATTATGTGGGACCGGTAGAAAAATAACACGTTTGAAGCAGTAATCGTGCAACCTGGAGAAATATTACTTTGCCGCCTGTGCCTCCAATAAATTATACTTCCAACACTATGACCATATTAAATATACTCAAGAATATGGAAAGTAAAACTTTTTATACTGTTTGTAACATTTTACGTTTGAAGAGAGGCACAACATATTGTGTGTTTGTATTGTATTATTTAAACAATAGCTTGGTAACGTGTCATAGTAAAGCGTGTACTTTTCCACCGTGGCTGTCTATTTTTTTAAGTTATTACGGAAAAATTCATATTTAGTACACTTCAGCAATGTCTCACATATTTTGATCATATAAAACAGCAAAACATTCCATGTAAAATCCGTGTATTAAAAATTAAATTACAAATCAGACAACATTGAAGCTTAGCCTTTCTTTCTACACAATCAACCGTCGCAAAAGGAATCCAGAAGATTTTAAACAGTTCTAAATAAGTTGTTTAAAAAAATCGTTTATTAGAAATCGGTTCAAAATGTGTTATGAAATTAGAGTGGTAGAGCGAGCCATCGTTCACGCTATCAATTTTTCCGTTCTCTTGGAGAGTTTTGAGAATGTCTACGGACTTAAGTTAAGTGCACTTCGACTACTGTATCGAGTTCGAATGAGACCGAATGTCTCGTAAGAAAATTCTGGGAGTAAATTTTAATAAGAAAATGTCCACGGTCTCGTCTCTTACGTCAATCGATACCCACGCCGGATGCACCCGGTGGGTACCAGACGGAAATAGGGGATAGTGGTTTGCTGTCAAGGGTTCAAGATTTATCAAGGAAGTCGCCCCGGGAGATGATGGAATATTCCAGACCCTTCCATCAAGAGAGAGTCCTTCTGGATTTTTTAATAAAGCTATTTTTTTTGTATGAGTGATTGAAATAATGATATAAGCTGGCGGAACTGCCTTACCTAGCGCTGAACAAATAAACCGTAAAATAAAGCTTTCAATCTTAACGTAACCTACTCTAACCAAACCCTGAGTTAACCTTTTTACAATCTAAGGTAGATAAGCAAATGTGCTTTAGAAAAAATACCATTCAGTTGTACAAAGGTAAAACAAGCATATTCTGTGAACTCTGAATAAATGGCACTTTATATACAATAGTTTTATTAGTACAGCGTCAGTCAGTCAAGCGAGATGGTTGATATTTGTAGTGCATAGCGTTTTATTCAATCTTTTATTAAATTAGAAACTTCACAATTGAGTCAAATTACGACAGCGGGATCTCTCTTAAAGCATGCGCATATGGGAAGCAGTGTTTACTATTCTTTTCACGTTTAGAAAACGTGTGTAAATGTACCTACCCGAGTTTTATGCACTCTCAACGATACCCGATCTGAAATAAATCGCAGGAAGTGCACTATTTAGCATGGCCTACCGATTTCTCCTCGATACGTGAGATGTTTTCAAAACGCCGACGCTGGCGTTATCGCTGTTTACGACTTTTATCTTTACCGCTGACCGGATTAAATTCCCGGTGGGCAAATGTCGTTTCGTAACGTGACCGAAAATATAAATTTTAAATTTCGACGCTTTGAAATTCCTCTAATATTTTGGATATGCAAAATTATTCGGTCTCTTCATTCGTAAATATTACATCCCGTGCGTGCAACTATATACCATCTACGGGGTGTTTGTAAACCAGAACCAAGAGGTTGTCACATTATTTTGAACAGGGCCTTATGGCGAGGTCATATATTTTGGAATTTTAAAGTAATTAGGAGTATTTATTTTTCTTTATGTGATTATCATTTTCTATTCCATTTTGAAGTTAGGTTTCTTGCCCCAAAATGTTAATAAAATACTTATGGCATAAATCTACGAAAATACAATTTATGTTCTGGTTATGGTTCTTTCTAATCAACAGGAAACATCTTAACATTTTTTTGAAATTAGCTAAGCTATAAGTAAGTTAATTAAAGATCTTCAGTTTTTCTTTCACATTTTCGAAAGTAATAAGTTTACAATTGATTGATTTTTTTAAATATCTTATTCAAAAATGTTAATTTCAATTTTTTTCTTATCATACACCGTTTTTGTGTCAGGGAACACAAATCCACTCTGTAGAAATAATTTCTTTCTAGTACAGAGGCCCAATGACAACCACTCGAAAATAATTAATCACATTTGCCCTCAAAATTGGATATCTTTGGGAAGGAAATGTTATCGGCTGAGCAAAGACGCGGTCACCTGGAGTCAAGCTTACTACCGCTGTGACCAAAACAACTCAAAGTTAGCGATTGTAAGATCTAAATCCCAAGATTACAAGCTGAGGATGCTTCTCAATGGATTTACCGGTAACTGATGCCGCGTTATACATAACGCAGTGTTATATAACTTTGACGGCTTGTATAGATAAGCAAGAGAGGTGGATCGGCGGAATATCCAACGGACGTAAAGGAGGATGGATATGGGCGCAGTCTGGACAATCTCTGAAATACACCGGGTTCGCCAAAAATGTGCAAAGTAACGTTCTTAGTTACATGGAATGGCACCAAGCGGCTATAATGATGGACCCAAAGTTTGAGTATCAGTAAGTTTGTGGTTATTATTTCGTAAACAATCTCGTCACGAATGTATTTGATTTGTTTTCAGGTGGAATTTCAGCAATATAATGGAAAAGAAGCACTACATATGTCAGGTGAAAGGAAAATCTGTGAAACAGATTCTTTCGCCCAGGAGGCCGCAGGCGACGATAGTCGTCAAGGGAAGTAGGAGGAAAAATCCTAAATACTTACCCAAAGCTACGAACTAATTACAAATTAACATGCTAAAATTTTCCATTATTTATTGTATTGTATTTTCATCAGTATTAATACGAACTTTGCAATAATCTGTTACTCGATTTTTTGACTGTGGATTCTTCCTGTTTCTCAGCTATCTAATTGCGGTTCGAGAATAAAAATAATCCAGAAGTTATATCTTGAGCCGACAAATTTAGAGGTACAATTAGATAGGCTTTTGTGTATTTTTAATAATGTTCACTGCCAGTTCTAGCCTCACGTGCCTTTAATAATAATTGTTGCCAATCTGTTTGATAGGCTTACTTAGACAATAACACTAGGACTAGTTACGTATGACTAATGTAAATCTAGTTTGTTAGATATATGTACCTACATCGACACGCGGTAGTTACTGTAAATATAAATGCGGCTTTGTTTGGTAATATGTGGAAGTTTCATTTAAAAAAACAACTTTACATTCCACTGCACGCTTCGCAAAGCTGCAGTTAGCTTGGAAAAAGTCATTTCCAATTTTCGGAACAATAGATAATGTTTTCGAATATGCCAGAAACTGGGCACTTTTAAATGAAATATTTTTTGCAATTTTTGCTACAGTGCAACAAGAACAATAGTTTCCAAAAATATTTTTTCGCTCTTTTCAATCTGTCTTGTGGAAAGTTGAAAGGCTTAAAGAAGTACAAATAAATACTATATAAAAATATGTATTTGCATTTGCAAGCAGCACGTTCTCAAAAATAAATATTGGACATTTAGGATTCAAGTAAGAATTATGTACATTGCTTAGTAATAAACGATTGATATATTTAAAAAGTTGTTATCGATCGTCTCGTATTTGGAAAATAAATATGCACACGCACAATTACACAAAAATTCGCTCAAAATTTCACCGCTCTTTCACCAAATTAAATTCCTCAACTATGGGACGAGGGTGCAACGGGTGTTTTATGTCCATTTCTTTGTACGTTCGCCATTTTAGCTTGCCCATGGGTTTCTTCAGCAACTCGTCATCTTTGACTAAAATAGAAAGATGCCTGATTAACACAATGCAACGGATAAACAAAATTTTACAATATCTTGTGACCCCGCCATTTGTCAATAAGATATGTCGTTATCGAAGAAATTTTTTGTTTATTAGATTTAATTTCATTGAAGTTACAAGAAACTCCCCTAGTGATAATTAAATAAAGGAAAATTATCTTGTCTAACAACCAACAAAAAATATCGTATAATAAAGTAGTGTAAATTGCCGAAGCAAGAAGGTTGTGCGCAAGAACGTAAGTGCAAAATATTTGAAAACTGAGTTAATTAAATTAATTATTAATCCTTTAATGTAAACATTTTGTTGAATACCGTTTAAAGTGATCCATAGTTAACTTACTAACGCAACGTTTTCAAAGTCACAATGATGTATGCAAAGTTTCATTTTCGTTTTTTGCTTCTCCTGAAAAATTATTATTAATAATTATGCTTTTTGCCGCGAGACGAAGGTAAAAAAAATGAAATGATTTGAAATCGATTTAAGAAAGATAAAATGAAATAGGCTAAATGGAATCAAAAGTTAAATTTAAGGATAATACATAATAAATAATTTTTCATTTAAAGGGCTAAGCACGATGGAGTGGGACAGTAGTAAAATTGTTGAAAAGAAAATAACTTTTCCCCAGGGTTGTACTCACTTCTATTTCTCCGTTTCCTATTGTAGCTGCTCCCGACCGTCACCACTGTGGGAACGTCTGAATTGTCCACCGCAGATTTTTCCACGTATATGGTACCATTGGTATACTGACGGATCTGAGGTGGAGGTAGTTTCCATTTGTTCTTTTTATTTTTTTTCCTTTTGTTGGTTCTATATGCGTATTGAGCATTAAGGTCCTTGTTTAATTCGATTTGGTATAAGTTCGCTGGTCGGTGTAGCTTTAAATTAGCTGCGGATTTTTTATCGAGAATATCGCCTTGTATGTCGGGAACCGGTATTTCGTTGAGTTTATTCACGTTGTACTGTCGCAGGAGCTTCTTCTTATCTCTGTTGGTTACTGTCATGAGTTTTTTGTGGCAGATGAAATGCTTCCGCTCGAGGCAACTTCGACTGCTCCACCTGGAGAAAAAACGCACGTTTTGGAGTGGTGCTATTTTCGCAGTTATCAAAAAATATTTTCGTCTATAATTACGCGTCTAAAGTAATACGCAATACATATATTGCTTTGTCGTTTTAAGCCTTAACCGCAGACCTTCGCAGGACCGTGGTAAAACCCATCCTAACAGATAAAATAATCATCCGTTAAGTAGGTATTGCGTGAGATGGACCGCAACGAATATTTGTAGAAAATTGAATTTTTTATTTGAAACGTAAATGGACCGTTTTAAATTTGATTATTTGATTATATGTAAAAGAGTATAATTTAAATTGCAATATGTTCCTATATATTAAGGAGGTATTTGAATGTGACCCTGCGAGACTGTTTTCAATGGATAGTTCAAAGGGTAAGGGCAAGTACCTGTACTTTATTTATCTTACAGGTAAGTTTGAAAATAATGATTTTTGTCTTGTGTGCCTGTTGATTAACAACATTCTTCTTTTGTATTTTTATGTCTTCTACATAGTTCTTTGATTTTTAAACAACAACAGTCTTTTTTAAAACTATAGATTATATTCGCAGTAGATAAAGGTACGTCATAAGAATACAGATAAATATTTATTAGAATCTTACAAATAAACATTTTTTGTAGGTTCCTGTTTTTTAATACTTTAAAATGTGGAAACCGTGGAATAACGCAGATGTGCCCCTGTTAGAAGAAGACATGAAAAACACCTCAGAATTTGAAGACAAAGTGGAGATGGTAGTCGAACCTAATGACAATTTAGAAGACTGCTGCTAAACAAATTGTTTTGAATGTTTACAATTTTATAGGAAATTCAAAAGGGGAAGTAGGAAAAGCAATAAAAACAAGTGACATAGAACGTAATAGAAAAGAATTGCTCGGCGAAAAAGACTGAAAACATACTGATATCCCGCTTGCAAGCGTAGGTAGATAAATTCCTAGGACGGCCCTGGAATAGTTACGGATAAGGGTTTGCTCGGCAGGGTGTTCTATAAGGGGCTGCGCTATTGGAGTAATAAACAGTAGGCAAAGTTAATATTGTGGTTGATCGTATAAGCACTATAACTCTGGTCGAAGTAGAATTACCTGAATTGCGCAGAAGGATCAATGATAATGCAGTGCCATTTTAAACTGTTGTCTTTCTGATTTTCATCGGCAGCAAATCCTTTATAGGTCAAAGGCTTCCCGGAAGCGGCCCATTTCCACTGTTTTTGATGCCAATCGTAAACTCCTCCCAACCACCTTTCCAGAGGTTCTGCAATAAAAGATACTAAATATCATATGTCCATCTGGTCGAATTCTTTTTCTTCATGAGATTTTTTTTAGAATATTGGTAGAAACGATATTTTTGCGATCAAATAACATCGAAAAGTTTTCGAAGAAAAACAACACAAGACAACAATGTATGAAATTACTAACAATTATCAGTTGAAGTATTTAAAATACACCATAACCTTAAAAATTATAATAAAAACATTTTTAACAAAAGTTAGAAAGGATTTTTTATGGCAATGTTCTTAAAAGCTTGTCAAATAAACGACATAGTTCTAAAACAAAAAAAGTGACAATTTCAGTTTTAGTGACGCCACCTTGTACATATATTTAAATCTTTATGAATAAATAGAAGATTTGGCAACGTTTATTTATTAACAAATCATTTCTTAAGCACTTTTACTTTAAATTGGTAATTTTGGCGGCCTCCTCAACAACGAAATACTTTGAATACATTTTTAAAAATTAAATTTAATAAATACGTAATAGCATAAATGGTAAATACACGAGGTGGAATCAGTGAAATGAAAGATTATTATACCACATTATGTTCATTTCCTCCTTTATTTATTAGACTCAACCGAGCAACGGAAAGATAAAAATTAAAATTAAACCTATACATACGAATTAGTCATCAAACCATAATCGAAATTTTTAAAAAAGAATCAGTTCTGTTGACTTAACTTCCCGCCTGTTTTCGCCGGCTTGTCGATTTGAAACCACCATTAGTGATTATATCTGTTGGGCACTTGAACCGCGTGTAACTACTGAAATCTACAATTACTTACGGTCACCTACTTACCCAACGTCTTTCTGTTCAACGTCTTCCTTATAAGCTTATCCTGATTGTTGTTCTTTATTATGGCCAGGTTGCTGTGCATGGATTGACACTGATAATAGGCCTCTTGCCATGTGGCTTGTTCCCCACTGAAGAAGTAACACCTGTGACTCAACCTGACGAAATTTGGAGGACACACGTAACTCCTTTTAACCAGTTGCTTTTCCGGTGTTTCTTGCGCACCAGTTACTATAATAATCTTTATTTCAGGGAATATCCGTTTTGAACTGAGGTGGCTTTTACTTGATGAAAATCCATTTATCACAATAAATAAGAACTAAAAGTTCAGATTTTCACGAAATTATATATTTTGACATGACAATTGTTTCGACAACACCGTGTCTTTATCGAATGTGATCACATTTGATAAAGACACGGTATAGTCGAAACAATTTTCATGTCAAAGAAATATATAATTTCGTGAAAATCTGAACTTGTAGTTCTTATTTATTTTAGTATCTGTTTTATTTCAATGTGCAATCATTTTGTTCGACTTACTCCTTATTATAAAATGTTTTGAAATAAATTTCCAGAAACCATAGTTGTGCAGCACATAATTCATAAATAATTTAAAAATATCATTCATAAAATTAAATTTTTTTGAATAAAGTGAGCTTTTATCCTGAATTATAATTAAATGACGTTTAATTTAAACATTATACGCAAAATTGTAATTAGGACATATTGTTCATTGGTGATTTCGTTATAACATTTCGTACAGCACTTACCTGATGTTACACAAACGATCGCGATCAATATTTCCAAAATTTTCCAACTCATAGTTGTCGTATTATCAATCCAGTTGAAATTCGTCCTCGAACATATCGTATATAAAGGAAAACTACATTTTCATTCACACGATCTTTTAGTTTGCCGTCCGTGTCCTGAAAATAACCGTATCAATATTAACCGAATTCAGTTCGAATTATTATTTAACAGCCGAAATTTTCAAATCAGGAACCAACTCCATTAACCAATTTTATATACCCACTTAATTCCTCCTAGCGAGTGATATATTACTGGATTTTCCGACTTGGAAATGAACTAAAAATGGAACTAATGTTTAGACTGATTTCATTTCCACGAATTAAAATGCGAGGCTTAAAATGCTTTTATTTGCATTTTATTAACAACGCCGCATAAAACTGTTGATTAAAGGCGCTAGCTTTACTGCTTTTGAATTTTATTTGCTCAGCCTTAAACAGACCAAAAATAGAAAAAATAGGAATTGTCACAGCATCTGTTTTTGATAAAGGATTGCAGTAATGTTAATAATAAAAATATATGTTAAACTATTTATAAGTTCCTAGCAATTCACTAATGAAAGCAATGGCTAATAAACATGAAATTTTATTTTGCTGTTTGACTCAAATTAACCAAACTAATTTTGAGTATATTTTTTAATAATTTTAATAAAATGTTTGTGGTCTAATTTCAATAAAATTGTAAAAATAGAAAAAAATAGTATATAAAATATATACAATCGCAAAAGGTTTAAAAATGAAGCTTCTCTCTAATTTATGCTAAACTGTATTACAATGGTTTCTGTAAACATTAAATTGCATTTCAGTCAAATCGCACTTATTGTTTTATTTTTTAATTTATACTTAGTTTTGGATACTAGTTTACTACGCGAGGAGTTGTTCTATTAATAGCACTCATGCTTCTTCCTCCGGGTTCATTTTAGTGTAATATAAATGTTTTACAAGTAATATTTTCTAACTTTTAGTTTCGTTTGTTTCAAAACAGAAAAACAAATAAAAGAGAACCAAAAAATTACCACAATAATTAATTATTACAGTACATTACAAAGACAAGTCGAGGTGGGTGTGATAACCATCAGCACGAGTCACCATGCATGACATCACGCGCGTAATCAGAACAACATATTTTTCTAAAAGTTTCAATTACCATCCATTAATATTAACGCGGCAATAGCTAAACAAATCGCAAATATCTATTTTTAGGTTCTTATTAACACAACTTAGAGAAAGCATATGGGTCAAGTTCAAGAACCAGTTTAACGCCCAACTTGCTTTTTACTCAATAAAACATGTTATTGTACGGGTTCAGCTCATTATAACGTGTGGTCATTTCGTGTTCTCGCTTTGCTAAATAAATTGAGCGTGTGATTTGGAACGACCGACCAGCTTTCAGCAGGATTCGATTTTTCACAATGATCAACCTTGAAAGAAAAACAAGGTCGTAAAATTAACGAACCTAAACTCGATGTAACGTGCGACATTTTTTCGTTAAAATGCCGTAAAAGCCAAAGATTGTGAAAATAACCCTAATTTAAGTTTTTTTATTAACCCGCTCCACATTTTAGCGGCAACCTAAATTAGCCTTTTAAGGACAAGGAGTCGGAGTTTCAACAGATATGAGTATCAATATTGACAGTTTTTTTGTACGAATAACTGAACTAATCGATAGATCAGGTCGAAATGAAATAAAACACGCGCGCATAAGAAAATAATTGACATTTATCGTAAGGTATGGCATTCGTAAGACATGGTATACGAAACGAAACGAAACGAAGTCATCATTCAGATTTGTTTACTTATAATTTTACCGTATGAAGAAGAAAGGAACGGAAAAACAGAGAGAAAAGAAAAGAAGCTCACATGAATAAATATTTTTCGAGCAGTGAATAACGGTACGCTCAAAGTTGAAGCCCTCTAAGGTCTCGAGAATGTCCATTATCGTATTAGATTTCTCTAAAATTAACATCTCTAGAATAGATGTGATACATTTTTAAACACTCATAGAGATTATTATGACGCAAAACACCTCACAATGAGCAGAGAAGTTAGCTCCTTTTGCTAGCCAGTCATACTTTGTCTTTCTTTCTATTTTTTTAAACAGTTTTAATTATAAAAAACTAAAGCTAAACATAACAGCAAAAAAGTTAACAGAACATATATTAAAATACAATAATGTGTTTTATATAATTTCTATATTACCATTTAAAGTTTAATCCTTTAGGTAATTCACTATAGTGTAAGTCTCTCTAAAAGCTCTAAAGAGATTATTCCGTAAAAGTTATTTTTAAATACAGACAATATAGTATCCGGGCTTTGTTTAACACTTACAATATCAGCTATCCGCAACATATCAACCATTAGTAATTTCATGGATTAGTAATTTCAGTAATTCAGCGATCAAACGTGCGGAAGCTTCATTTTAATACGACAGCTTCTTTACCCAAGTTCGCGAGCAATTTCGGTCACTTCCGGTACTTTTGTCACCGGTTTGGGAGCCATCACATGTTTTCGATAGATTTTTATGGTATTTTTATGTCTGTCTGTCTTCTGATGGTCATGTCACGTGTTACTCAGTCAATTTGATTGAGCTATTTTACAAACTAACCAAACTACTAGTCATAGAAAAAGTATGGTATGTCCACACATTGATAATAGTATATTATGCAACAAGTGCGGTAAACGGCGTTTGACTCACGAGTTTCCCGAACGTGTTGCATACTATACTTTTTCTGCGACCGTTAGTTTTTGGGTACATTTTCGCAAAACAACACGAATACGTTCACTGACATGACTGTCAGAATTGACAAATGTCAAAATTCAAAGCGTGAAACTAAACGACCCAACACTATTTCTTGGGACAACCCATAGGTAGACAACCCATCATGTGCGTTTTATTTTACTTAGGTTCGTTCATTTAAATATTCCTGAAACTAATTTCCAATCGCTCGACTAAGTCCACATTCTGTGAACTGAAGGATGGAATTTTTCACCTCATTTTACTAGTTGAAAACTCGGTGTATTTTTTATGTGGGAGAATTTATTGTTTCACTTAATTCACGTTCGTAGAAAAATATTCGAATGCTTCCTCGGTTGCTGACCTACAAATATACTGGTATTATTACTAACATTAAAGCCTTAAAATTAGAACCCGTAGGAACATTTAATCGCTTTAAATGGCCTTTTGTTACACTCCCACGCAATACGACGTGTACTTATTTGGTCAGGACCACATTTTCGTATCATCATTGACCAATTTTAACACGCTAATATAAACATTAAACTTAACAAATTAAGTAATCACCGGTTTTCCTAACTTAGTGCTCTACTGCCATGCAATACAAAAGTTAATTAAAACTAATTAAGAGGGATAGTTTGTGTTTGCGCATTCCGCGCCAACAAAAAATTAAGGGCTACAGTCTGTGATTAGAATATAATTTGTCGAGAGTCACCTCTGAAGAAACAATATATCATTTGTGTAATTGCAAACCCATTAGCCTTTCCCGAGATTTTCAGAAAGATAAAAGCAACGGTGCACTAACATCATCGCCGCATAACCATCAATTAAAATTGAAATAATCAGCGAATGGAGATGTTATAATTATGATGTCAACACTAGTTTATTTATGAATGAGGAATCAAACAAAACGATAATAAATGCAGCAACTCTTTTTAATGAAATTTATGTCCTCGCCGCTTACCTAATAAGTTTTTTAATTGTTACCACAACCGGCTAAAAATAGTATCCTGAGTAACGCGCCATTTAAATTGACACAGAAATAGATCCGCAGATATCAATTAAAATATCTATCAGCAGAGCAATTTGTCAACTTTACGGAAAAATAATTACGTTCTTTAATTAAGTCGGACCTCGGAGTTGTTACGGATATTTCGAATATAAGAAAACAATTAAAGAGATTTAAAAAGAAAATACAGGGTGTTACAAAAAAGTTAATCATATATATTTTTAGTTGAATTAGTTGCAATTATAAATTACGTTTTTATTTGACCAACATTTTTCGAGAAGTTAATTAAACCAAACCAAAATTTTAAAAGCAACAAATTTTTGTTATGTCCATCAGTTATTATTTATCTGATAATTGTTAAAAAGTCGCAACACACGGTCAATTAAGTAAAAATATCTCGTAAAATAGCTTCAAATCAAAATTTTACTAGAGTTAAACAAAGATGAACCTAATTTTTCATTACTTTTTTGAGTTTTTTTGAGAAAAATCCTACCGAGACTGCGTGTGACAATATAAAATTTGAAAGGGTAACTTTTACATCATCTAATATTGAAAATAGTCAAAAGGATATAATGTTAAGAGATTGCCCTACTTTTTCGTACCACCCTGTATATCTAAATGCTGTGTCATTGAATTCGTCACTATTACTGCTAAAAACTAAAAATATTTAATTATTTTCCTTCACCAAAATTACATGAAAGTGTATAAATATGTATGACATGCAAAAATGAAATAATAGATTTTTTTTTCTGAATTAGCACTCACTAAATTTCATAACTAGGAAATTGTATTTTACATTAGCTCTAGGACTATTAAATGGGTTTTATTGCAGGTAGATAGATAACTCCCCACGTCTTCCTGTTTCTAACGTTTTTATTTTGCTGACATTTGACATTATTGTATAAAGTGCCGATAATTCATAAATTTGCAATTGTTGTAATTGTTTGCTACTACACGGTTTTGCAAGTTAAATTGAAATCATGTGTCGTTTGATTATATTATTTACCTATTTTATGACTGGTCGTTATGAATTTCCCTTAAATAAAAACATGACAACAAATTATATGTAATTTTCAAGCCCACTTTTGCGGGTGTGATCGCTATGTCAAAATATTTATTGTCCTTGAAAGTTTATAAATTTCTATAGAAACAATTGCAGGTTTTAAAGCTCCATGGTTAGTTTCGCAAGTTTTGATCAACAACTCAAGCTTTTGGACAAGTAACCCTAGTACAATTTTATAAAAATGAATGTTTATTTCCTCAAATCTTTCTTCGGCTGGTTAGTCACATAATATAGAGAATTTTTCAATAACATAAAGTATAACTTACAAGTTTCAAACCTTAAATATGTACTTATTAATTTTAATAAATGGATCG